GGCGCGGCTGGAAACAGACCAAGCTTGCTCAAATCATCCCCAACAGCAGAGGACGTTACCGTCCCATTGGCCTCGCAAATCAGCTGTTGCACAGACCTCTTGTCATCCTCAGCACTGTTCAGCACAGCTTTGCCAAAGCCTCAAGAATCAAGAGGAATTTGAAGGCAGAGCAACATTGTGGTATTTGCAAATAATGCCAGAGTATTTGTTTTAATCTACTTGGAGTAAAATGAACTTCATCAAGTTTTAACTATTGCAAAGTCCAAAATACTTGCATCTGAGTCAGAACTTTTTCCCAGTACTATTCAAGACCGCTGTGATGCAGTAAACCCAAGGAAAATGAAAACAAATGCTAAAGTAAACATTCACACAGAGACAGCATGCGTCTTCTCGTGATCCTCTATTTGGCTACTCTGGAAAACATTATAAACTGCCTTCTAGCGAATCCAGAAAGCAGACAACATTGGAACGGAAATTAAATAGTTACAGGAAGATTTTAGAAATCCATTAGTTCCTTTACAGCTAAAAATCAAAAGCTTTGAGTCAAAGACCTAGAAATGGCAAAACAGCTCTAAATATTTCAAATACTGGGATGGATTTGTAGAAACACTGAATCTTTTGCAGAACACAGCAGAACACATTAAAGCTACAACGTCTCCCAGATCTGCTCCAAATGAGCATCACTTGAATATAGCCACACCAGTCCTGTCCAACACCCCAAATAACTGAGTAAAGTGTATAAACCAATGTTTTGTTCACTGCCAATTGAGCGTTATGCATCCTGATCTAGTTTCAATCCTTCATCAGGGCCTGAAAAACTCCAACCGCAATAAACAATGAAACAGATTTAGCGGACAGTGTCAGAAGGGATGATGCAACACATAACAACCAGTCTCACTGAAAGACGAGAGTTTCTTCAAGCCTCTTTTCTTTCACACACAATCTGTGACTTCATTCAACTAAAACCACAACAACTTAAGAACTTTCTCAGGAACCATGAATAAGTAGTAGAACAATGCAAAGAAAAGTGAAAAAAATAACATCTAATAAACTTAAAACCACACAAAATGCTTGCCTTATCTTGTCAGTGCTATAATACGGGGTTATAGTCACACTGTTTGTGTTGAGCAAGCAGTAAGACTTATGTGAAAGCATATTTCTCTGTGAACAAATATATATGCTCGATACAATTTATGTAAATCAACCACACTGCAAGTCAATCATAGATGGTCTTTTAGAGTACTTCTTGTAATACTGCATTTGTTTGAATAACCAACAACCAATCACAACCAGCAAATGAAAATAATGGACCAAGCAGCAGTCGTTACTAAAGAAAACCTAATACAACAAATACTTGATTATTACACCCTATGAATATTTATCGAAGCTTACAAATATAACTCACTGTACATTATTTAGTCAGTTACAGAAACTAAAGGTTTCACAATGTATGAAACAGTTTAACCATCAGAGCTAGAAAATAAATTGGAGAGGAGGAGTGAAAAGAAAAAGAGACCCTGGGCATCTTTTTCAGAAATCAAAATCTGTTATATGAATATAATTTTATGTCATTAAACAGAAACTCTCATTATTGTAAGAAACTTTCTTGCTACGAAGAAATCTCGATTCTCATCTGGAACAACAAAGTTCCTCTTTTAGTACCGAGATAATCTAATTTTTTATTTTTTCTTAGCTCTAGCAGACAAATGCTTCAATAATAACGCTTTGCTTCATTGAATAATTTCTCACAGAAACACATGATGGATATTAGGTCAAATAGTGTTTGTCAAAGTAACTCAAGATAATCCTAACAACTTGAACTCCATCTAATTTGAAATACATTGGATCTGAAACTATTGTTGCAGACCCTGCATTGAACAGAGATTCACCACCAAAGTCAATAACTAGTGGTATATTTGGAATACCCCACATGCAGAAAGCTTTGATAAGGCACAGTAATGTAAAAACTGTAGAAATATTACCTACTTGATGGAAAATAAACATAAAGTGACAACCAAATCAACTTTAATCAGGAGAATGTGGGTCCAAAAGTAATCTAGGGGCTGTAGCTGCCATGTTTATTGGCCCAAACCCCGAGAGATGAGGCTGGGCTAATGAGCTAGACACTAACATTGGCTCTCCATCCACCCGCTAGGCCAGCCAAGCCTCGGGCTTTCTCTGTTAATACCTTCAGACGTTTCAATAAGAGGGCTATGGCTAGTGCAGAGGCCATTATTACACTTCTGTCTCTCTCTTCTCTGTGCTTTTTTTAATATCTTCTCATACAAAAAAAAAAAAACAGACACTGCGGTTATGTATTAGCCAAGGACGAGGTCTTTGTTGGCACAGAGAGCTCAAATTTATTCATGATCTTTGGCCAATAAATCTACAGCTATGAGGAAAAGTCCCAGCAAAAACTAAAAGAAATTGGTCAAATAATATATGATTTCCAAATAAATCTTAGTGTGAAATTGGGAGTAAAAGGGAAAAAAAAATTGTTGTCAGTGAATAAGCAACAATTGGAAATCAATAGCTTTAAAATGTTTTTGCATAAAACCATACAGTTTTTTTTTTTTTAGATTAACAGAGGAGAAGAAAATGTTCAGATGATGATAATGGTCAAAACTTTCAACTTATTGAAATAATAGGTTTAATTTTGTTGCACAAAACACTTTTTTTTTTAGGTTTATCAATTTGAAGAGAAAGTAAATAAAACTTCACATAACTCTCTACATTCGAAGGCTTCCATGGCAAATATATGTACAAATCCTTTAGATTAATCAGCTTCCTTGCTGTAACAAAAACCAATTACATTTCTCTGACTGGTAGATTTGAAATGTATTTTTCATCCCTATACCAACCTCCTTAATGTGTGCAGTGGCAAGATAAACGCGTGTATTTAAGTTCACCAACCTTTGTGCTTTTAAAATTATTGTTCTCGCGGTAGATTAGGGCAACTTTACATCAGGAGCAATTTTCTTGCTGATTTATGGCTATCGACACATATTTTCACCAAACAGCATGTTCTTGAAGGTTTATCAAAGAATGGGATTGTGTGTGACATTTTATTTAATATCCAGAAAAGAGGCATAGGTTATTAATTAAGCTGGTATAAATATAACTCATTTCTATTAGAAATGAAGGTGATGCTACTAACTATAGCACCAGTCACACATAGGTATTTTTACCTGTAAAATAGTCAAATTAAATATTTTTGAAATTTTAGGACAGGATTTTGCTACAGATTTTGTTATACTATTACCTGGGTTTGCTGTGTCATTTTATTCCTTCATTAATATAAAAAAATAATAATCTAAAATAGATAAACATTAGTCGTGTCTTGCATTATAAGATAAGTTCCTTTAATAATTGTATTTCTGTTGCAAATCAAGACTTTTTGCTAACCAGCCTTCACTGTCACAGCACATTTTGCTTGGTGGTTCATGGATTTACAATTGGCTTCTCATAGCTTTGATAGACAAAAAAGCAGCAAACAATTTTCTGTAAAGTCAAAGGGTGGATATGCTTTTATTCTCAGCCCATGTGTGCACCATAAAAGGTATTTGCTTTTACTGTTAATGCTCAAAGCTTAACAACAAGTCAGGTGCAGTTATTGTTCTCCTCCTCTGAGCGTTAGAAATATGAACAATGGGTACCAGGTATAAATAGCTTGTATTCAACAAAAACAGTGGATACACTGAAACAGCTTGTTCTTATTAATCACAATGTGAACTGATATTACAGTCTGTTTTTATTGCATAGGTCACATGTGTCAAAGTATGAATTTTAAAGAAGGAAAAGTCAACAACAATACTCCAAACCAAACAGCAGCTACGCATAACTAAAGGGAAAATGTTAGCCGGGGGTTAACCCAAGAATGTGCCCAACAGCTTGTCAATGTGGCATGATAAACCATGCCAAACAATTAGCATGGGAACACATACGCCGTCAAAGAGGGGGTGAGACAAAAGGGGTCAGAGGTTCCTCAACAAGCTGTATGGGTCCGACCTCTGATCAGCTTGACACTGCGCAGAGTGAATGGCTGGGAAGAGCAACCGTGGGACGGAGAGGTCAGCGGGACTCAATGATGTGAGCTTTAATGTCCACAGATAGGGGACACGGGACGGGAATGGTCTTTGACATCTTAATTAGCTTCGACATCTTACTCTAAAAAGGCTTGAAATAGCAACGTACGACTACACACCATTCAAAACTTTGAGCTGAGATTATAAATATCAATTAAAAACACATTGTTAGAGCCGACTAACAAAAAATAGGAGAATGTTTATACCAAAATTTGCTTGTTTTCATTATTAATATGGCTTTATGTGCAAGGTGTGGGATGATTACTGAAATATTCAAGGGTTTGAAATTGTTCCCGTTTTAAATTCCTTGTAGACAGGGACCAGAGAAAGCGCTGTGATAAAAAGAGGTCAAGTCGGGTTATCTCGTACTCTACAGAGCAAAGTTGCAGATGTTTGCTCTATATTTTTGATTACATTTATGTATCAAAATACCGATATATATGCATTATTTTTTCATGTTTTGTGTGCTTGACATTAATTCACAAGAAGTGGAAAATATCAACCAATTAGATCATCTCTTACATTTTGATTTTGATCCAAAAGTAGATCATAGGGTTTGAATATTATATTGAATATGCGATCTGTGCCTGATAACAATATTAGAGTAGATGAAAAGTTGGTTGAGTGTTGAACTCTTTGTGCAGGATATATTTCAGAGACGGGCTCTCACATCAAAAAGGCTCCTCACACACTCTGCATAAACTTTCTGAAGAGTCACCATCAAGCACAAAGTAAAAATCACAGTATTGCAGCTTTTTTTTTTTATTTAAAAATACTTCACACAAATATGTTGAATAATCCCAGGAAAACACAGTCACATTTCTTTGTAAACTGCTTGTTAAAAAAAACAAAATTAAACTGAACTTAATTGATAAATCTCATTTATTAATTACTGTTTCCATGTGTGGCTCTTACAGAATCATCGGACGCCGACGCAGGCCATCCCTCCCACTGCTGATGCCTGACTGGGATGTTGGTCAAGTCTGAAATGTTCCTCTTGACCTAGAAAGAAAATAAAAATAAAATTAGAACAATATGAACAATGGAAAACTCACACTGTCAATGACTCAGGCAAGTTTAGGGCTTCACATTATGTTGTGAATATTTCGTCACTGCAATATTCATATTGCAAAGGACTGCTTGGAGTGGAATAATCGTTGGCTAATTTATTCAAAGTGTTCTAAGAGCACATTTTACGTGTTAATGTAACCGTTAGCCTGTTGGGCTAAATCTGCAGGCTTACAGCTGCAGATGTTCACACCAAACACAAACGAACACCAAAACACTAAAGGTCAAAGGGTGATGGAAGCACAGATAAGATAATATCTTGTCACAATTGTTATAGTCACCTCAGTTTTTACAAATATGATCATAATCATATTTTCTAATAATTTGCACCCTAGAATTAAAAAATTTAAATTATGAATAACTTCAAACCAGAAGATTTTTTACCAAAAGTATAAAAAGTCATCAATGTTAAGATTTTTGCTCCATTTACTGAGACGTCAGAGAATGTGCCTGAGGGTAGCCAGTTGTTTCTGGCTGCATGAAGCCCATTCCCACCCTGCTGCTGCACACTGCCCATCAGATGGCCGAGAGAATTCTCCTACACTTTTTCTTTTCTAACAGGACAGACCAATTTAGTTATTTGGAAACTTTTCTGGTCGTGAGTTAATATAACTGTGTAGAAAACTAAACAACATGTCTTTTTTTTTTACTTTTCCCTTCAGCTCCATACTGGAGGAAGTCTGCATCAGTCTGCTCTAGTTGCAGTGAGTCAGCAGGGAACAAAGGTCAGTAGGAGAGATGAACAGACACAGAACAGTTTAAGACTTTAAAGTGGATCTGGTTGGAGTTGGATCATTTGAATTAATTACCAACCCAATCGCACGTTGTTTTTAGCCAATGAAAAGAGATGCTGGGATATAGCAACAAACGAAAACCAACTTTGGAAACAAATGCATCAACAAGTGGATTTTTGTAATCAATTAACTTAAAAGGACCCTTGATGACCTTTCAGTCAAAGAAACACACAGATAATGAGCTTTATTGAATTCACATTAAAAAATTAACACTTAAGTCCCTTTTTATAGACAAAGCCTTCACCAATTTTTAGTGCTTCAAACATCTGAACAGAATTTAACCAAAGTCATCACTTCTCCAAAGTGCAAATGCAGTTCAATCATCCTGAAACATCTTAAAGATTACAATTCAATCGATATTTTCATTTTGTCTCAATGTAATTGGATCACTAATCATTTAATTAAGGTGTTGAAATGGATCAATGTACTATTATACTCCTGTGTTCATTTTATATTTTAGATCAAATATATAAATTTATTTTAGCATACATGTATCACAACACTTGTACAATTTGAATAACCAACATGTTGAGTTAGTGTTGCAGTGGTAAATAAATCATGCTCTCAGTGGCTTAGCGGTCAAACATATACACCATAGGCAGAAGCTAAAGCCAAAAACAAAATCCAGTTCGATACCCGGCCTGGGAACATTCGCTGCATGTTTTTCCTTCTTCTCTTTGCTATTCTTCCTGTTCAGCTACCAATTAATAAAGAACTCTAGTGTCATAAAATAAAAAATATATAAAAAGAAAATCATGTTAATTTAGTTTTTTATTATCTTTGATTAAATACTATAATACACTGTACTTGAGTTATGTCCATACCTGTAAAGTCTCTGGGTCTATGCCTTTTTATCAGCTTTAATTTTTTTATATATATATATATATATATATATATATATATATATATATATAATTTTCACTGGAAAGATACACAAATAAGGCTCAGATTTTAATACTAATCTACCATTCAAAGGTTAAATAGAAAAATTAGAGGGGAGAGAGAGAGCAGAGAAGGATAAGACAAGACAAAAAAAAATAGAGCCAGTGTTGTCAGCATTCCTCAGATGCCTCCGCTAATTCCCAGCAACAACAGCCACACACTCTGAAATGAACAGTATTTCTCTTCTCCCATTCATGCGCAGACCCTGAATCAGCATCACTTAATAACATTCCTTGGTTTTAAACAGTTAGCAGCCAGCAGCGGCTCTCTAACCAAGAGCCGTGTTAAACCCTCTGGTGGGTTGTTGGTTTAAAGCCCTCACGCCAGCCCGAATGTGCGCCAGTCACAGCAGATCAAAGCTCCAAGTTAGCGCCTGAGCTCTGATGATGGTGGGTGCTGGTGAGTTTGTTCGGGAGGATCCTGACATTCGGGCCCTGCAGGGCAGAACGCCGACGCTGAAAAAACTACCTATTGTAGAGGAAAGATCCCACCATAAATGGAGCAAATCCTGTCTTTGTAACGTGCACCGAAGACAGAGAAGTCCTTCTATGAACTTCGGGCTGCAGCTCATGGAGGTGGAAGTTTAAAGACTGCTACAAACACCAAAGCAAATTTAGGCCATAAAGGAAAGAATCTGCAAAACAATGTATTAATTTTGGGGACAAACATTGTTCAAATTACGTCCATGTAATCACACCTGGATATGAATATCTTTTTGTCGAGATGAGTAAATATTTTATCTGAGTTATCAATCCCTTTGAGAAAATATATTATATTTGTGCTGAACCTGAGAACGTGAAGCAATTTACAGTACAAACAAGGAGAGACAATTTAAAAGAACAATGATAAATGAGTGGCACTTTGCTTCTCTCTTGTAAATCCCACATCACTCCGCTCCGAGTCCATCCTTATGAAGAGACATCCTAGCCAAGATAGCAGGCTGGGGTCAAAGCGGGTGGCCAGTGTTATTACAGAGTGTAATATCTATGTTTGACCAGCCAGGCTACAGGGATTTGACTGACCGGCTGGCCGGCCGATGAATGGCGGGAGGGGGGGAAAGGGAGGAAAAGGAGAGACATAAACACTAGTAATGAAGAGGCTGCAGTCAGAGGTTAAAGCAGCATCAGAGAAACAACAAACTGACGCCCACCACTAAGAGAGTGAAGGTGAGAGGTGGCGGCAGAGTGGAGCGGAGACAGACAGCAAAAGACACCTGGTGGAGGACAATCTAATCCCACCACTGAAAGAAAACACAGCGAAACAGCCGGCCTGCCCACCTGAAACCACACAGCGAGGATATGTGCCGTCCTCTCCTGACGCGTGCAAAAATACGGTGCAATTATGAGAGTTTTTCGAGACCATATGACAACAAAATGTTATTTAAGAAAAAGGAATTTGGAACAAAATGATGCAACAGCAGACAGAGACATCTTTTCTAAAATACTGCAGGTAAATTGCTTCTTTTTTTTTTTTTTGTTACAAACACCATAACTGAAGCAATACTATCTAATGCTGCCCCCTGTCTACCAAGAGCGACAAGTCAAACTGGAACTATTTAAACATTACATATATTTTGGATTTCTAGAAAAAAACTATTAAAAAAAATACAATTTACATGAAATTAGGAGTACTGCTTAATTGGTAACTCATGAAGGAGAAACTATTCTAATTAGTAACTGGATGGTAAAAATCATCACATTTTCATTATAATAAGGCTAAATTATGAGAATTTTTTCAAAAGCCTAAAAAGTCTATGGTGGTATTTTGCAGATTTATAACACTGTAGAAATATATAATGATTAATTTTACATTTTTGTTTCTTCCACTTCAGCATTTTTAGAGCACTCTCCAACATGCAGAGATTCAATATGGTTCGTGAAAATGAAAAAATTAAAAATATAAAAATACACACATTTTACATGTAAATAAAAATATAAAATCAAAAGGAAAGAGGACAGAGAAAATAAAAGCTGGGGGGAAAAAAATCATTAAAAAAAACCACTTGTAATTATTATGAAGTATGACTAAGCAATCTGGAATGCAAATTGAACACAGTTGGTGTTTAAATAGAATTTTTTTTAAATTATTGTTTCAGTAAATGATTATATTTTCTATCAAACTGCAAGTAAAATATTTTCTCCATTTGTTGAAATCAAAAACAAAATAAATTATTAAAAAAGGTAGTGGTTTCAGATCCACACAAAAAAAATCATGTTGATATAATTTAAAAGAGACAAAATATCAATTCAATTAAAAATAGTTCAGTTCCTGACTTCCACAGCTATCATCAGAATGCAGTCTTTCAGGTAATTAGTCCATTGACAAGTAAAACGTTGAGCATTTCTGCAGGAATTCAGCATGAAATGGCCGTCATAAATGTCTGCATAGATGCATAGTGTATTTATTTCAGAGCCGTATATACATCTGAGTTCTCCAACATAAAGGAGACTCAGCTCTGGCCAATACACCCAATGACAAAATTAACGATCCAATCATTGTAAATGCCAATTGCCTATAATCCCTGGCTGGAACCAAATCAAAGAGAAGGAAAGGTTTCCATTAAACAGTCACAAGCTCTTTCTCTCAGTCTCTCTTGTTCTTTATCTTCATCCCATCTCAGCACCAGATGCCTTTCTTTCATTTTGCTTCCCATCCAGCCTTGCTTTTCTCAAGTCTCGCAGCCCCTGTCTGCGTTTGGTCCCCTATGTCTCTCAGCTGCAGGGTAAGGGATGGGGCCTCAGGGGGAGGATGGGGGAAGAATCCCCAGTACAACTGGTCTGGTCACGGACAAACTGGGACCCAGCGGCCATTCCTATTCTACCCAGTACTCCCCTGGCAAACATTTGCTCTGCAGCTTAGCCCAGAAGCTAGCCAGCAACATAGCCCACCCCACTCCAAACTCTTGTCTAGTCATGCCAATCAAGAACCAACACAAACTTTGGTTTAAAGGATGGAAAAGAGGGGGGGAAAAGGGTTGAGGAGAGCCGCTGGGGGAGGCGTAAAGAAAGAAGAAATAGAAAAAGGAGGGATAAGGGAAGATTGTTGGGATTCTATGGTCAAAATAAATAAAAGGATAAGATAAGACTCTTTCTTTACTGATATGCACAGAAAGGACTGAATATCTTAAGCTAAGAAAATAAGAAACTAGCAATGAAAAAAAGCCCTTTGGCAGAGCAAGAGGTGAGGAAAAACAGACTCAGACAGGCTGAAAATGTTACAATCTTTTTTAATGAAAGCGAAAAGATATAACTTCAGCTCTAGAACATAGCTCCAAGTATCTATTTTTCTTGTTTTTCAGTCAGAACTTTCTCTTATCCATCACCTTCATCATAAAAATGTCAGACCAACAAGTTGAACATGATCCTACATGAGGTGAATATTTTTCCACTTCTTGCGGGCGGCAGCATTTTAAGAGACCATGCGTATGCAGCCTGCACATCTCATGTGTGCAGGTTAAAGTTCTAGGTCTCATTTTCTCAGCAGGGAACGTTCAGATGTCTAAAGACAAACATGTGTAAGGAAAAGACCGCGACATGGAGGCCTGTTTAAGCCCACATTGTCCCTTCTCTGTCCGCTCTTGCCTCTTACGGCACCCCCCACCAAGCTAACACTCCTCGGTCTCTTTTCTGTGACCGCAGCTCCCACTCCCACACCACAGGGGCCCCTCCCCTGTGTTTGTAATCCCAGCAGAAACACTTAAGGTTCACAGTGGGTGCTCATCAAAACCATCTGCCTTAGAGGAGAGTGAAAGTACAAAAAAAAAGGGAAAAGATGATGAAATGGGGAGAAAATTGTAGAGCGCAAAGGACGTCCAGGGAGGCAGGCGGCCTCCAGTTAAGAAGCTAGTCAAACTAATTTAATCAATTAGCACCATTACAGGCTCCGCTAGAAGCCTGATTATTAATCATGTGTTCTTCTGCTCTATGGAGGGTCCATGAATTAACCACAGTGGCAGCACAGAGCAATGCAGATGAATGGCCGACTTCTGCTTTGAGATTAAATAATTAGTCTGCATGTAAAACATGACAACAAGAGAGAACACCTGATTCCTAATTATATTACGAAACACACAGAAGCAGCTGATACTAACCAGAGAAAGAACATATCAGGCGACGGGAATCAGTCAGTTTCCAGCTTCACAGTTCCAAAGTGATCATACAACATCCCTCAGAGTGGAAGTTTTAACTAAGTGAAGCAGTGCTGAAGTTATCGATATTCAGTGCTGATTAGGTTGATTCAGAATGAAGACAGAAACAAAAAAGATATAAGAAGATATATTAAAAGAAGCAGCATGTTCTTTTAATATATATACACAGTGTCATTTCAATGATCTTGGGAGTTTAACATCCCACCGTGCAACAGGAGATGTCCGATGTGTGACATCTGCTGAAGCAGACTCGCATCAGAGACAGAATCGCAACGAGAGGGAAGCAAAGTAACAGGTTTTCTTTCCTTTTCATTAGATTCAGACTGTAAAAAGAGGGAGAGAAAAGAAAAAGAGGACTACTTTGGAAGGTTTCTTAAATTAGAAAAGTGGATAATAATCAGATATCTACTAAAGCAGCGGTCATGCTGAATGACTATCCCACACCGCTTGATATTTTTTGCATTTCGATCAATCAATTTAATCCAACACAAAAAATAATCAAACATTTTGTGCCACGCTTTCATTCAGAGACCCTGAAAATAACAAAAACACTAAACAGAAAGCAGCAAAGGTTCGACTTTGAGGTTCAACCTTTCATTGTACACACCAACATATTTCAGTGTCTGCACAGAGACAGACGCTTTAATAATGCTTGATACACAACTTGCGAGAAAAATGCTGGAGACACTTTGAAACCTAAACTTTGTTTTGTAAAATCTGCATCAGCAGGTCGGCTCTTCACATATGACAGAAAATCTTCAAACTCTGTTGCATCTCTAAGAAGAAAATAAAAGATGAATTTCTTAATTTAGCATTGCAGTGATGATTCCACCTGGTCTAACTTTGTGAAGTGCATTTACAAAAATGAGATGGCAGCGTATATATATTAATTATGCATAACGTCTACTCAGGTCTCCCTTTTGCAGATGAGGTGAGACCAGGGCAGTGATGTATGTATGTGCAGACAAGACGGTTTCAGCTCACAAACAACTGACACATAAATACACACTCATCTGCATAGGCACATGGACCTTTAAACTACTTTCAATGCAGATAGAACAACCTGTGCCTTCACACAGGGTCCAGGATTAATATTTCATAAGCAGCCAGATCTACTGTTTAGTTTCAGATGAAGAAAATGAACGGACTTTTTGAGTGCTCCCGCATGCCTTGATCAAACAATGTTCAGTCATTTAAACTGCCTCTGCCTCAGCCGTCTGCAGGGTTGGAGAAATAAGGGAAAAAGACGCAGTGTATACTGGAAGCAGGAGGAAAGAGGGGGCTGTACCAGACCACAGCTGTGAGAGTAATTATGTGCTCCGAAATGTGATCATTTGTGATGAATAATGAATCGATGGCAGAGATAGACTAGCAATGTTTGGCAAATAGAAGGAAAGCCATGTTATGGGGAAATGAGAATCAGGTGCAATAATATTATGGAGGTGAGAACCTGTGGGTGCGTTACAGAAAACGTCTGTATGAGTCTGTGAGGGTACTTCACGGTCAGTGCTTGCATGTTGTGGCGTCTTACCTCTTGTATAGTTTTGGAGCCGGGAAAATTGAGGTTGTAGTCCCTCTGAGCCTCACGGTGGCTGATGATCAGCAGGAAGTTCTGATTTAGCGAATCTTGAAGTGCACTAAATGACAAGAAAAACAAAAAGTAGTCACCAAAAAAAAACCGTCAAGCTAATTAAACCAAAGGAGGCAACACATAATAATGACACACGACAAAAAATGACAGATGCAAGAAAAACAAAGACTATCTCTGAGACAAAGATTAGGCAAGCTGAAACTTGTCAGGCAAGAGTGACCTGCTGGCCCCCAGCAAAGTGGGTGCCTCCTCAAGGGGCCCCTCAGCCATTTTACTGGTCGTGCCTTAACAAGTCTGGCCGGAGCGCCGTTCAGCACAGCAGGCTCTCGCAACATGACCACCTGCACAGTAACAGCATGGAGCCCATCAACCTGTATTACCACCAACAAACCCAGGAGATCCTTCAGCCATTCATCTCCAAAACCCCATGATCCCTTTGAAATAAGACCTGAATGTAACACAAACTACAGTAGCTTACCGTCTTTTAATGACGGTAAGGTACAACTGTCATGGCAGGTTAAACTATTGAAATGTATGCATATAAAAGCGTTCTCACCATTTCAACATTTTCACATGCAACCTCAAATCTCATTGAATTTTAGTGGATTTTTTTTTTGTCATAGGTGAACACAAAGTAGTCAGTAAAATAAACAAAACATACATGTTTTTTCTTTTTTTTGGCATAATGTTTTCAATCCCTATCAGTCCATATTGAGAGGTATATTGCCTCTATTGGTCTCTGCCACCTTTACACTTCTAGTAGAAGCTGCTCAAGTTCACTTATATTGGACAGAAGGCGTCTGTGAACATCCCTTCTCATGTTTTGCCACAGATAATCAATTGAATCTGGGCTTTCACTGGGCCATTTAAACACATCAATACATTTGATCTAAAGCATTCCACTATAGTTTTGATTGTATGTTTGACCACAACAGATTTTTGTCCATAATTGTCCTTTATTTAGCTCCATTTATGTTACCTTCACCTCCAACCAGGAAAACATGATGCGAATTAAAGAGGGAATGGTGTGTTCAAAGTGATGCGTAATGTTAGTTTTGCATGTAGTCCAATTTTTGGGCTTGTCTGGCCAGGGCATTTTCTTTCCTGTGCTACCAAAATGGTTTGTGGAAAACTGCGAAAAGGATTTTTTAAAATGATTTTGAAAATACCTTTTTCTAAAAATCTTTAAAAAACACTTAACCTTTCTTTCATGTGACATTTACACACCCATTTTGTTGGCCTATCACATAAAATCCCAACAAAAGGCATTGAAGTCTGTGACAGAAAGAAATTAAACATACTTAGTAGATAAAGTACTACTGGATGTGTCTCAACTTGTGAGCCATCAATTTTAGAACACCTGATGATGAATCCAGTTGAACTGGAGTGAATCATTTGATTTTCATAAGGTATTTTTTAATGCTTAAACATCTTCATTGTGCCCAATAAAGTTTTTATTTTGAAAAAAAACTTCTAAATAATATCTGTAAAATATTAAACATTTCTAAGCTGCTTATTATAAATGAAAACATTTGATCTTCTACTAATAAAATCTAATGGCCAAATATTACAGCTTTTGTTTGAGAATTACTGAATATAGCCAGCAGTGAGTGTTTACAGGTAATCTCTGTCGTGATGTGTTGTTTCTGGATCGGCACCAATAACTAGCAAAGTAACTTGCGGCAATGTCTGAAAAAACAGAGCAAAAAAAAAAAACAAAGATGGAGGGGATTCAACTTTTGGAGGCTTCATTTACAATAAGCTGCGAGGTTAAGTAGCATTTTGAGCAAATGCTGGGTCTGTGAGGGTGAATAGCAATGGGAGGCTTAAAGGCCGAAACAGGCACTTAATCAGGGCTCAGAAACCAAGGAGAGGAGGAAGACTTTAGAGAAAGAGGAGGATGAGGGAATTAATATGTAGCGCACACATTAATTATGCAATCACACCCTTAATCTGTGCAGATCTGGACGAGCTTATGTTAACAGAAGCTCAAATTTACTGTAATGACAGCATATTTACATTGACTAAAACTACGAAATCAATATGTAAATGTAATGTTTGTTGTAGCTAACTGGAGAAGATTGGAAAAGTGGGAAGTGGGAAGGATGGATGCATATGTAATGGGGCTGAGCAGAAGGATGAAGGATGGGTGTGTATGTGTGTTTGCAAAAGAAGGAGAGAGAGAGAGAACGAGGAGAAATAGAAGGAGTAGGGACACATAAATAAGGATCTAGCTAATATCATGATTATGTTTGGACACGGTCCCGAGCTGCTGCTGGCAGGCAGCTAAACTCCTAAATAGGCAGAGATAGAGGGTAAACTGAGAGGAAGTGTTACTCTGTCCTTCCAAGCAAAGAAGGAACATCTTATCAGTCATTTGTGGCAGGCTGACAAAACATTTGGTGCATTTGTGGGTAGAGTTCTGTTCAAGATTAACTTTTTTTTTGTAATGTTCTATACAACAAATATAGTCACTTCAAACATCAAATGCATTCTGCAGGAAATAGAAAAAAAATCTGTCATACATAATGAGTCTTTTTTTTTTTGTAATTTGCCATCTGTTTAAAGACGTCTGCTGCATAAATAAATATATATATGAACCAGACAAGCATGCTTCAAGTAGAGATGAGCTGAGATGTTCACCACAGTCGACTGATTTCCATGTTGATCAGCCCTGACCGGTGTCCAGCTGGGCAACAAACTCAAAAGTCTGACGTTTTTTTCTATCAGTGAGTTTAAGCATGTAAAAACGCAGCATTCTTAAATGTCAGATCTCACTGACTTGACTCTCAACAACTTCGACCCAAAGGAGTTCAGAAGTTGTTCTGAGAGAAAATTATTCAACAGTTTGCTATTTTAAGTATTAGAGAGGTCTCTAAAAAATAAAGTTAGATTAAAAAGCATTTCTTATGACATGTCAAGACAGTTTTGTGATTTTTTTTCAGGCTGCAATGGAGAGCAAAACTCAGCAGATAACAGGACGACAGAACGTTTTACGTCACCTTTTTTTTCTCAAACATTTTAACCTCAGTCTGTCAATAAAAATGCAAGATTTGGAAATGCTAGCAGACCTTTGGAAATGTGAGTGTTAAGATAATGCTCCAAATGATCTAAGCCAGTGAATACACCAGGATAGTTTTACTAGAGATGCTCTCAAATATAAATCTCAAAGATAGTTTAAAATTCAACTCTAATCCTTTTATATTTTAAATTAGTAGTCTTGTTTTACAGTGACTGTTCTCTCTCACTGTGATATCTCCTTTTCACCAATGCAACTGACAGCCCTCACGACAGAAACGATACAATATTTTGAATACTCTTCTTATGTCCTCTTAAATCAATGAATTAGAATGATCTACAGTCAGTATCAGCGGGTTAACATTCTACAAAAATCATAAACCTGATACAGATAAATTGCTTCAATGCATCTGTAGTTTTCTCCCATCGACGCGCCGAAGTAGGCCCCCGAAGAAGTCCAGGGTTGAAATACGGATGTCTTTGTGTTTGCCTCTGCCAATAGAGGTCTTTTTCTCACTCAACACACATAGTCGGTGACATCTAGGTCAGCCTGCAACATCTCTGGAGGCTCTTGATGTGGGCATCAGGGTGAGGGAGGGAAATGTCATTTAACTTTATGGACAGCAAAAAGGCAGCATTGTGCAGGGGAGAAGAGTAGGCTAAACAGATTGGTTTCATTCTGAGGTAAGCCCGCCGTCTCAGCTGCTGCTCCCACTGGCACAGAGCAGACTCCAGACCTTATTAAAGAAGTATTGCCAGACACAGAGATGCACATGCGTGCACACAATGTGACATGTGCCTGAAAAACACTAGCACACACAATGCACTCAGAGATCGTACTATACATGACCTCTCTTAAATTTTCATAAATATGCTGAAACATGTGCTTTTACTTCTCAGATTGCTTAAAAACACACCAACTTGTCATACCTTCACGGAGGGCATCAAGAAGTACACATGATGTCTTCTTACCTCCGCCACATTTTACATCCACAACAAAGCAGAAAAATGTGAAACCACTCAGGCTCTGCTCTGTTTTGGTCTGCCATTTTGTCCGAAAGTGACATGAGACGCTAATTGTTGAATCCTTTCCATCAAGCTTCATAAGCGCTCTCCCTCTACAGCTTTATGTTTCTGCAGCTGGATCGCTCTCACAGAGCTGAGTGAACAAGAAGCTAGGACAAATTTTAAAAAAGAAACAAAAAACACATAAAACCTAATGAGTCCTTCTGCGATTTTAAACGTCTTTTGAGAGTTCAAATTAAAATAACCTTTCATTGGCAAACAAGCCTGCTGGGAGCTGGAGCGAAGAATAAACAAGAAAGGAAACAGGCTCCATTGAAATATTCATCAGACCTTCATCATTAATGCAGGAGATTAGCTCCTCCTCAACACTCTCTTGTATTCACAGAGAGTCATTGACATGGCCGTCCTCAGACCCCGGGCTTTCACACTGCACTGCTAACTGCACATCACATCGCTAACTAAATAACTACCTGAGGAGGATTGGTGCTCAGAGGAAAATCTCCCAAAGCCTCTAGATTTATTTCTAATCAAACAAGACGAACAAGGAAAGTTTGCTCAGCGCGACCGTAATGACAGTGCAGCTCCGAATAACCTCTCCATGCGGTTTAGGTGTGTGTGGTGAGAACCAGGCACTACAAAGTGATCGCTGGAGACACAGTTCATGGGACATTTTCATTGTCTCTCAGCAACAACTTAAAGCAAATCAAACCCATGAAACTAAATTTGAGTAATTTTCTTGATGTAACTAATGCAGGTGTACAACTCTGTTTGGGAAGTTACCGTCTTACTTCCAAAAACGTGAGCCTGCTCACTTGATATGATTAACAGTAACTGAGCAATTTATACTGGAACTGAGTTTTTACATCATCTAATTATTTCATGAAAAGCCTTGTATTTATACATTGAGTAAAATAAATCTTGTACAATGATAAATATGTTGCGATAACAAGCATTATGTTTGATATACAATAAAGTCAACTTTTCCTAAAATAATTCCACAAGTGATTTGAGGAATTATAATGGAGAGATCTTCATTTTTGGGACTGTTTTTACTTAAGTCACTGTATACCACTTTAAAAGCACTTTTTACACTTTCCGAACAAGCTCTTTATTTAGCACTGCACTTTAAGCATAGATTTGCACATAAATAACAATTTGCACACAAGACGTTTTAACTATTTATTGAGTATTTTTCGTGATTGGCATATAGCCTTTTGTTCTGGGCTCTGCACAGCTGCTCCTCATTGAGGAGTGAGGTGGTTGCCTCACTCCAAAGGAGGATAAATGTTATTCAGAGCAATGAGCTACTGGTGGGTAAAACTGAGCAAATGTTTGTGCATAATCTGTTAAGTGTGGAGTGCTAATATGAAGTGACTCACCTGTCTTTTCTGTGTCCTGCCCCAGGGGTACAGACACCATTATATACATTTGGATTTATAGGTTCCGGGGGAGGCCATTGAAAAGTAGGGGGCCAATGGGTTGTTTATGGGTTTAGTGGCTTTTCATTATGAAGTAATGATAAAACATAAAATATTTATAAAAAGTAAATGGAAATGTTTGTATTTAGTGAAAGGCATTTTATTTAAATAGGTGGAGATTGGTGAATTGAGATCTCCCTGTGAATTAAAGGTGGTTTGATCTGTCACAGCTGGGACTTTTTAAGGTTGCAGTTTCACCTGTGAAATGATTATTGATGCTGTTCCACCTGACTCTGCCTCAACTTTTCATCCTCACTGTAAAATCCAGCCACAAAAGGCCACCTTGTTACAGGGGTACTGCATAGATTTTTTTTTAAACTCAGTTGCCCCAATTTTACTTTTTCACAAGAGGCCAACACATCCTCATTTACTGCCCACTTTTTTAGGTTTTTGTCAAAAGCTTATTTAAAATAGCCAAAGTATCACACAATACATTAAAAAATGGTCTAATATAATATATCAAAGGGATACAGATATATTGAAAAAACATTAACAATAAGAGTTGCTGTCAGTCTTATTGCTTGTCATTAGTGAAAACTATTTGCTGACATCGATACAAATTATGCAATGGTGTTTTGATGTTTTAGAAACCAGTTACTACAACTTGAGCTTTAAAGAGCATGCTTTTTACTTAGCCGAGTGAACTCCATGAAGCCTTTTATAAAAAAAAAAAAAAAAAAAGGTGTCATTAATGGTATTGTTTAAGAAAACATTAAGAGACAAGTGAATAAGTCAGTTACTGGATTTCAGGTAAAACGTTAAAAACCAGTAAAAGTTTTCCATCATAACATTCCCACACAGTAAAGTCAGTTTAATGAGAAACCAAAGAAAGTACTGAGACCACAGAATAACACGGAGCTGCCCCTCCCACACCGGTTTCTGCACACTGCCAGTCAGTTGGATGAAAGCCAGCTCCTATAGCTACTTTCCAACACTTAAAAGAAACACAGAAACACTACCAGATATGAAAAACTCAGTTCAGGAGTTCCTTAGCAGTAGTCAAACATACTTCAGGCTGGCTACCTGAGCAGATAGCCTCACTAATTAACCAGCTAACCCAGCCTGGTAGACTCCTAGCATCACTGTATCAAGAGCAGAACAACAAACGGTACAGCATTCTGAACAATAAGCACTTGAAAATGGAAAGTTGAATTAGATCATTTTTGTATAAATAACATGATACTTTGACTGCTATCTTGCCCCACATCTAGCACTCAACTGAGCTTACTAATCATGGCTGTAATAGTAACTGGGATAAACCATTAGCAAACTCAAAATAATGTTTATTCTAACACATTAGTGCGTCGAATTGGTGTCATGCTAATAATGTACCCCAGTTTACCTGGAAAGCTCTACTGACTGCCTGTATTTACTGCAATAAATTTGCAGACACTGCAAACTAATTGCCAGCGCACTGTGGATATATGGTGTGAGAACAGTTTATTTTTATTCCAAGCTAACAGCTTGTTTGGTCTCCCACCAGGGGGGCCGCTCCCCTCATTTTCTGTGATCTGTCACCCATCCTCTCCCTGTTTGACAGCAGGGTCATCAGACACACACACATACATACACAAACGTATGTACATATGCAATGGGAGCGCACCCGGGGCCTTTCAGCCCCAACTGTCCACAGCTAAAATAGCTGCTGCAAAATAATGAGCTCCTGTCACCCAAAATGATATCGATAACACTTGGAGGAATGGCAACGGCGCTGCTAAAAAGACGCAGCAGTCAAAGGGGGAGTGAGAAGATGAGGAGAGAGCAGGGGAGGGAAAACCGGGGAGATGAGGGCCATTAGCTGCCAACACAATATAACTACCACTTAGGCTAACTAGCAGGCAAGGAGGCAAACTGCCAAATGACTTACACAAGGGTTCTGCTGACATGAAGATGCTTGTTTGGGTGAGAACTAAGGAGCATTTTTTTAATTCACTGTTAAACTATGAACACAGTCTTACAACTGTACATATTGTGCTAAAAAGAGGACGGCTTCAGATGACAGCCTATCCAAGTATTAACTCAGGACAATGACTTTATTATTAAACAAAGGATGAAAGAAAAGAAGAGCCGAGTGAATATAGTGATTTAACCTACTTTTAAAACAACTATATATTAATATGCAGAATTACAATCATCATATAGAAGTGATATAAAAGTGCATTATTATTGTTCTGATTATGTCCTTGGGAACTAATTTTTTTATTTCACCAAATAGGTCTACTGATCCATAAACTGTGACTAACAGCACAAGAATTTCAATGCATAAAAAATTGCCATAAACTATTTAATAATTGCAAAAAACCCAAAAACTGTCATATAAAAAAGCAAAATGATCCTCCAGTCAGTGAGGTTTGCGTAATCTTCGAGTCCCCTTTTATTTGTTCACTGTCAGTTCAAATACATCTTGATCAATTTACAATGAGAGGCTAAAATAAAGATACATTTCTACAATTGAATTTACCTGACAGCTTTAAAAAATAAATAAATAAATAAACTGCAAAACCTAGTGATTTATACGGATATTGCACAAAATGTCTGAAGCACAAGATATAAAGCTAAACAAAAGAAACAATGTTCTGCTGAAAGAAAATACTAGCACATAAGGAGGGGATGAAATGATTATTTACATAAAAAGGACAGTGGCAGCTGATGCTCCTTTCAAAATGTCACAGGGGGAGAGAGAAAATGAATGTGCAACGCCGGGTCAAACGTATCCTGCTAAATCAATGACAAGGATATTTGTTGGCTGCATTCTGCTCTATATGTGGACAAATATTGTCACCTGGTGTTCACTAGCAGGTACTGCATGTATAATAATCAATATTTTGCTTGTGAGGCAGGATTGAGGAATGAATATGACTTCTAATGAAAGAGTCTGAAAAAGCAGAGATGTTGAGCAATTGTAATGAACGTTACCTGTTTTTGCTGGTGCTGGCAGTGGGGGCGATGTCTGGAGTCAGGACATACAGGCTGTTGTTCTTGGGAAGGTGTAAACTTCTCAACACCGTCTGATTATACACAAATGGACAAAAATGCTTCTCTTAACTGAAGCAGACTAATTGCACCTTCTTTCTCCCTCACTCTGTTTTCATTAACGTTGATAAAAACTTGAATGTTACAAAAAAAAACGCTGAAATCCAATCTATGCATGAAAAAGACAAACAGGAGGTGGAGATTTGAATAATTTCAGCTACATTTTTAGTTAATTCTTTCCACCATTAGTTGTTTTAATTCCTAGTAAAACAAATTTTAAAAACCAAATTACGAACTCACAGTATCCAACACGTCTCCACTCTTCCATCCCTTCAGATGCATTTTGGACGCTGGAATGCCGAGTTCTGTCTGGAGGATTCCTTTAATTTCTCCTATGGATTTAATTATAATTAAAGGGATGGTCAGGGATGTAAAAATGAGGACAATCTTGAAGTCAAAACTAATACCTCTACAAAAAAAAAAATCACTATTTGACTTGATAAATTGTCCCAGAAATTATTGCAATAACCATGAATGTTGTTTTGAAGTCAGTTTCTAGTATAAATAATGGTAACAGCATAGCAATACAAGTACACCTTTTCAAATATCAAACTTTAAATGATAAAGAACATTTGTTAACATTGGAAGTGGAAGACATTTTAAATATCCAAAATATCTGGTTGCACAACCGGGCAGGTTGAGACCAAAGACAAGACAAAAGACTGAAGACTTTTGTCATCCAGTTTTTGGTAGAAAGAGAAAGAAAATAGGAAAATGATAAATCATGCAAATTATTGAACTTGCTTTAATTATATAGTTGATATATCTTTATCAAACACAATCTTTTCGCTCAGAGTGTGAGGTTATGCTTCTGGTGCTCACCAACTGTGCAGCTCTCCTCGACGACAAGCTCCACTGATCTTTGCCTGTACTCCACCCTGAAGTTTATCATGCGAGGTTGGCGCTCTACAATGTGTCGGGTAGAAGGGCTGATGGGACAAAATGCTGATGCGGAGGATGATGGAGGGGAGGAGGAGGAAGATGACGAGGAAGGGGGTGGACCGGCACTTCTTGCTGCTGCGTCGGCTGCTTCTGAGTGGCTGGGGGGTCCATACATGGTGGCCTGGCTCCCCTCGCTGGGAAAGTCACTGCACAGAGATCACAGTTTATTGATATTGTAATTTATAGTGTCAAATTTATATGATAAATAAAAAGGGTCTCGGTTCAGAAACAGCATGAAGAGGTGATAAAAAGGCAAAACATCTCTTTTTCTCACGTTTTTTTCTTTTATAATATACCTTTATTTGTCGGTGCCGCTCTCTCAGATGATCAATGGTTCACGGTGTCAGAATTGTATTCCAAGAAGGTCGATACAGATTTTTACATAAAGGCTCCATTTTATTTAGTTCAGTGATAATGTTTCTCCCTGGAGGTATACCCGGAGCACTCCCAGACCCACCAATAAAGAACCACATGATAGCACAGCTACCAAGAGACTTACATACTTATTACACACTTATTTATCAACCTACACTTTTCTTTTCATTGTCATGAGCTGCATTACATGTTTTAACTCTGCAGATTAGTTCATTATTTTTGAGTTAATGCACAAATTTGCTCCTAGGTCAGTAAGATCACACTTACTGAATCAGACGATTCACTTACTCTATGAACAAATCTTTACAGATGCACAGAAAAAAAGAGGAGTATCCAGACTGTGCCTTTACCCTTACTTGGCACAATAAAACTTAAGGAAATGGAAATATCTGTAAGCAATACAGGTTCACATTTCAAAATGTCATCATCCCAAAGCAAGCCAAACCTTCTGCATCTATGCAGGGAAAAAAAATCTATTTCAGTGCTCGTACTAACAGGGGCGTTTTTCTAATTCTGCTAATGCCTGGAAAAGAGGTGACAAGCAGAAAGGGAAATGATTTTAGTGCTGGTGTACCTCCCGACTGGCGCCTGCTGACATCATCACTGTTTACTGGTCAGCGGCAGTCTTCTCATAACAAAGCCAGCCATTTAGTAAATGTGTCGCCCACCAGTCACACTGCCAACCGGCCTCCATTCAAAGCAATCTTTGTCCTCGACAGAGAGCTGCAGTATTCTCATGGCCTCAAGCCCTTCGTGTCTTTTAATTAATATCTCTTAAAAATTATACATTTCCCTTATTACCTTGCTGAAGTGAGTCATTTTAGTTTCTACCAATGACTCTTAGGAATTCCTCTAACACAGTCAGCAGTCGTTACCTTTGTAAGATCCCATTCTCCTGTGGTATCACTCCGTTGATGGCTGCCTGTAACAAAAGCAAAACTACAGTTTACAACAAAATACAATTACATCAATGTGTTTATGTAATGTCCAAATCACCAAGTGTAACACTCAGCATTCAATCTGCGTAATCTAAAACAATAGATTACAGATTAATTACGTTAAATTAGCTTATTTCACAAAAATGAGAGACGGTGTGTCGTCATATTAAAGAGGACACTGTGACATCACTGGCTCAATGTTTTCAGAAATGTCAAATATGTCAAAATGTGTGAGCTGAAATATTCAGAGAGGCTGGCCTGGACAAAAGGAACTGAAAAGACAAATATAACCTCTGTCAGCTTTGCAGGTGAACTTTTGTTTCAATTGATTCAATCCAATTATCACTGTTGTACACAAGACAACAGGGACATGTTATGCGACGTCCGCAGCAAGCTGTGTTGCTTTAAAGCATCAGGTGAAGCAAAGAAAATGTCTAAATTAAAAAGAATGAGGTTTTTGATCAATGCCGAGATAACCATTCTCATTGTTGTGTTGTTCAACACGGGTGAAGTTTTTTATGTAAAATGTAAAACATTCAGAATCCAATGTCTGTTTTTTAGGAAAGAAAAGAGAAAAGGGAGTCCATGTCATAAAATAAAGAGAAGAACAAGAAGGAAATAAGGGAGGACATGAGAGAAAGGAAAGGGAAGAACACAAGAAGGAAGGAATGTAGACAGATAGGGCCCAAGAAAGCTTTAAATGAAGGACACAAAGAGGACAAGCAGGAAGTGAAAAACAAATGAAATAAGGAAGAAGAGAATGAAGAACACAAGGTAGGTAAGACAGAAATGAAGAAAGAATAAGGAAACAAAATGGGAGGACAAAAATTAGAAAAAAATCAGTAAAGTCACAAAGGATGCCAAAAGGAAGGAAAGAAGGACTCAAGGAAAGAAGGAGACCAAAATGGAAGAAGGTAGAAAAAACAAAGGATGAAAATTAGGGAAGGAAGAACAAGGAAGAAAAGTCTGAAAACACAAAAAAATTTATACTCTTTTCCCTCCATATTTAACCAGACCTTAAAAATAGTGACATAAAATTTCAGACTTCTCTAAACTACAAAGAAACCCTGTTAGCATCTTTTGTTTCTTTTATTAGGTTGGGATGAACTTTTTAAATCTACAGCTGATGCAGGTGTTTTTCCCCTATCTGCTCTATTGCATCACAATGTATCAGTGAGAAAAGGTGAGACAAGTCAAACACTGGAAAGGAGGAGCTGCTACTGAGGGAAGTGGGAGAATGCTGCTGTCTTTATTTGGTGCCGACATGCCTTTTTTTTTTTTTTACAAATTAGTTTATTTTTCTTTAAGCTATTTAGATAAACAAATGCACTGCACTTGTTTGGATGTAACAGGTCTGTTAAATCCATGCACCGATTGTTTAGACTTGCAGATATTCGCCTCAAAATTCCATCTCTGATATTTGTTTTGACCTGTTTTCTTCAGGCCAACTTAAAGCCCCTTTCGCATAAAACTGCACAAGCACATGTTTAGTGATGCAGTTTTCAAATAGTGAGCAAGAGAAGATTATTTGTAATAATTTTAAGGTTTTAACAAACCCAACTAGGTGAGTATTTGCTTTAGAGCTCAAGGTCTCCCTTGTGTAAACAAGGCTGGAGATTTTGGTATAACTCCACAGTGTGTTTTTGGAAGACAAAAATCGGTATTCTAAAAAAGGACCCTTCAAATCAGAAAACCTCCTTCTCCTGGGTGCAGCTGGGCAAGAGAGAGACCAACACTGCCTGCTTAAATCTCCTGAAAAGCTAGTCGTGATCTTGTGGTAGGCCTATTAACTTCTCTGTGCAACAGCAGTAATTAATCATACACACAGTCCCGAAATAAACAGGGTTCCTCCTGAGATATCCCAAGCTCTGACACAGTTTTCTAAAAATATTTCCTACTTTAGAAGTAAAATAAGTTTTTTAACCTGTTATCTTTAAAGTAAATTGATGAAGAAAAAAAAACTATAAGATACAGACTAGAATAAACCAAATGTATTATCCTTAAGCTTTATTTAAGCTTTATTGTTTGATACCTGAGTGCTATGATCCTCACCTATTGGGACACTTAGAGCAGTAGCTGTGTGTATAATAAGAATGACACAGACTTAATATTAGGAGAACTAAAATGTCACATGAAGTTGTCACAGTGCTGCAAAACAGGAGAGGTCATGTTGCATCCTAAGACAAGTAGCCACATTTATTTTAGTTTCAGTCTTAAAGAGTAAAAGTTCACAGTGACATGTAAACTTTTATGTCAAAAGAGATAAGCAGACAAGACTTTATCATGTGGCAGCAGCTGTTCTAGTTTCAGAAAGTGAGGCATTCACTGTTCTAAATGATGATATAGACTTGGAGTGTAGCTGAGGACTTTGGACAATGACACTGTCATTCAATAACCTTGAAGCTGACATTGGTTCAACTAAAAATCTAAAAGATTAAAAACAAAATAATTCAGTGATTTGCTACATTTATTGTTCCCTGGTCTCTTAAATGGAGGAAAGTGAGAACATATCCAGTTTTCCCAACTGTACTCCACACCCTCACCAAGACCACAGGCTTGTTTTTTTTGTTTTACAAGAACCAACACCCACTGCAGAGGAACTGCAAGTCATCAGATCCACAGCAGCAGAAAGTCCAGTCCCCACTGTCTGCTCTGCTGCCAGCATGCATCTAATTATAGTCTGACCCTTTCCAAACGGGACGTTACTGCACAGGGCTCATCATGAATTAATCTAACCCCGACTGGACCTGATCTTTCTGGCCACTACAGTCTCTCCTTCACACAATGCAGGACTTAACACTTTTGTCTCACAACAACCTTCCTGCTGAGATGAAGGTTGCTTGCAAGAAGCATTCCCCAAACAGGGGAATGTTGCAACCTGTGCATCCCTCGATGATAAAACCTCTCCGGAAACGTGCACTCTAGATGAACTGAAGACTAAATGTCCAAGAGTAAAGCCCAGAGCCAGAAGCTAACGAACTTACCACTAAATCCCAGTTATTAAGCTCTAACAGAGTGATTGCCTCCGCGATGTTGTCGATTCCAGTGCAAGCCTGTGAGAGGACAGAGAAACAGAAAACTCAAGTTGTAATAAATTCAGCTGCTGATGCATGAAACGTGAAAAATTAAGGTCCCCTGCAATGTAGCGCTTTCTTTTTTACCGCAGAGGATGTGTTTATTTAAAAACAGTTCACAACATCTGTCCAATCTAGCCTTTGGTGATCCTGTCAGACTTGGGAATTTGAAAGAATCAGTTTTCAGTTGCTGACTTTTTTTCCTTGAATCAAGCATTTATTTTGGATTTTTTTAACTCGGAATAAAACACCTATACTTACAGAAGTAACGGTAAAAACCTTACCACATTAGGATAAGGCGCACTGATTGCAGCAGGACCTTTTCATAACTTCCTTTGTTTGTAACTTCAACAGCAGGTTTCATTTTCTGCAATGACCCTTTTGACTGCAAAGCCCTTCTCAGATTCAATCACACATAGCTATCAGGTTGCCAGCAATAAAACCTGTTTCAGCTCTGTGATCTGGTTTTGCAGCTCATTAGAAGTGTGTTGATGCAAAATATTACATTGTAATACTGAAGTCATTTTCACATGAAACAATTATCCACTTTAAACCAACTTAGAGATGTTTTGAAATGTATGATGTATGAGTGAAGAAAGGATCCAGATCCAGAAAAGCTGAAGGAACATGTTAAGCACTGACTGTTGTTGATGTCAAACATTTCCTATGCAACATTTAAAGAATGTTGTGGGTGAAAGAAACAAACACTGACTCATAAGTTTAAAATGTAAATGTTTCCATCTTTTTGAAAGCAAATTGTTCAAACACAACTTTTTAACTTTAACCTGAAATAGTGCAGAATCTAAAAAAAACAAATTAGCGCCAACTTTGACAATTAGATAATTACACTCTTATGCGCCTTAACTGATTTTATCTTTTGAAACTGTGACACTGTAACTGTAAAGACGGTGGGCTTCAAAACCAATAACCACTCCATGACCAGTCCCATAATATTGTCTTTTTGAATATTGTGACATGCTTTCCATTGTAACATTTTCTATAATTGCTTTTCACAGGTGTGATTGATCACTTGTGTTCATATGTTTGATGTTTTGTAATTACAACCTTTGCTCTGAAGATGATGTCAGAAGTTTGAGAATATTCACTTTAGTGCCAACACACTAACTATTGGGCGTTGTCAAACTGCTATATAAATGTTTGTATTTTTAAGAGGTTTATGTCATTAGCTTATTGGTAGATAATCTAGTTATACTGGTTTTGAATGTAGTTACTTTAAGTGATCTTTTGTTACATTACATTGTAAAAAAGAAGAAGCACTTTATCATTCTTATATTTTTGCTTTTGATGTCTAAGGTTTCACAAAATTCCCACTTTCTTCTCTCTTTTGTTTATGACATGATGAAATCTGCTCAGTAGGCATTTTAATAATCTTGACATAAGATTCTAGTAATTTTAACATACTTTCATGAAACCATTTTTTTTCTTACTAACCTAGTGTAATATTCTAATCTTGTGTATAAAAATGGAGGGAGGGGGTAAGTCGTCATAACAGAAACAAAGCCCTGGAAACATCAATCTCAGAATAGTTTGTCTATATAAAGTGTTTAACTGATAAGCTGAGTTACTTAAATAAATTAACTTTTCAAAAATATTGAGATTTATTGAGAAGAACCTATAATAATGGAGTCAGTATTGTGGACTGGCTATCCAAATTTTAAGTCTTATTTTTTGTGTGTTTATAGATTAAGGGTTGATTAGGGTAAACAGTGTTTCAAAGTCCACAAACCAATAGACTATGACTTCATCCTAAAGCTACAGATTACTGGGAGACAGTAATCTTCAGGCAGGTTCTGATTTATGGCTTTCTTTGACGTCCTCCCTGCTGATTCAGACTTTCACCTTCCCCCCACACTGCTTAATAAGGACTTTAACACCAAATAGAGAAGAGATACTCTCTGATAAAGTGGATGTAAATTAGCCACAAGAGTTCCAATTTTACACATCAAAGCCTGTCTGATTTTATTAAACTCAAAGATTGCATTAAATTATCTTCTGTTAGTTGAGGCATTTATTGTAAATTATAGTAGGGATCCTTAGTTTAAATGCATTTTTAAATGAATAAAAATAGAAAATATGATTTTTAGGGAGCTGACTTGCTGATCGTGGGAGAACAGTTTACAATTTTTGGCCAATTCCTTAATGTATTAAAACCTAGAATAGAGCTCTACTTTCGATTTTTTATGATGATATAAAAAATCATCATATTTATTTTATTTTATCAGGAAGCAATAATCCTATTGCTTCCTGATAAGCAATAATAGTGAATACTATTGCTATAAATTTTGCTGATATTTTTTTTTGGGAAACCAGTTGACTGAAAAGAAGACAATAGGAATCCAGATTGGGGTTGATTGGAAACAGAAATCCTGAATGTGTCGACGTTTAGCGTCAAGTGTTACACTGCAGAAACAACAAGGGACGATATGTAAACAAGTTAATAGTTTTATTGGGTGCAGCAGCTCCATTTTCAACTAAACTGGTACTGAAAACCAGTATTGTCCCATTCCTGGCCCGACAGTTTCGGTCGACTGCAATGTAAACACCGAGTTTTTGGTTCGTAAGTGTGTTCAGAGTTCGTTTCCGAGCTGTCAGTAAGTTAGCTCTGCGTGCTAACTCGGAGATCCTTTCTGCTTCCGACGAGCAGGTTTGCTGTTTCTGATGCAAGACATTTCATTTCATTTAGTACACGGAAGACAAAACGCTTCCACCTGTAAACTATGCCACGGACAAACAAACAAACGGGGACCCACCTGAAAGTCGGCCAGGATCATTTCTCGATCCATGTTGCTTTCGCCGCTGTCGGAGGCCATAGCAATGACTGGCTAAAAGCAATACCTCTCCACTGGCTCACAGACAGACGCTGAGTACAGATACAAATGGATACTTAGAGGCGACTGTCAGTCTGATGTTAGTTATTTGTAGATTTTCAAGTGAACGTGGAGTTAACAGCCTCAAAACAGACAAAGTTCAGTAAAGTTACGTTACAGTGCCCGGTTATCTCAAATCATTATTGTCAGCTAGCCCATTGCTTTACCGCTGGCGTAAAGTGATTTCAACTGTCGTAAAACTTCTTCTTCTTTAGATTTTAACGGCAGCTTGCATCCATTATTGTTGCACTACTGCCATCTATTGGATACTACTAGCTACATCTCAAATTATCATAATGATCCCAGTATTTTTTTAAAAATCGAAAAATCTTATTTTTCCCCTCAATACGATTTAACCGATCAACCACATTCTCAAATGTCAATTCCCTATTAAAACCTAATTCAGTTTTTAATCATCTTCTTCGATTTAAGTATTTTCTACAACTAATAAAAACATTTCTACAGTATCACACCCACTACATAAACCAGTAAGATGTTTCCTCATTTTAAAAAGATTTCCATTTAAAAACTGTGAGTGGTTCTTATTCCATTTATAATTATCTCCTCCCTCCTGTTTATTCCCCTAATCCTTAATGCATCAACTGTATTTTGAATCCTATATAAATGCCTTCCATTTATTTAATTATCCCACCTAATTTTCCATATCTTCTTGCTTTCTCTCCAAACTATGCTTTTGCCTTCAGATTTAGATAATTATACTGGCATATCAATATCTTCTTTTTTAATACCCTCCTTAGCCAACCTATCTGCTCTTTCATTTCTCAAAATACCTACATGAGCATAAGTCTGAAAACATATTACATTTTTATTTTGTTCACATATGCTATGATGAACAGCCATAATCTCATATATTTTAATGATTATTTGTACATTCTTTTTCAATACTCAACAATGCAAATAGTGAATCACTGCAAGCTATTATTTTATTTATATTAGTGTCATCCACCCATTCTAAAGCTGATAATATAGCACACAATTCCACTGCATTTATGCTGAGATAATTAGACGTTCTTTTTGAAATATTAATCTTTAATTTAGGAATCACTGCTGCTATACTAGTTGCTTCATCTTTTGGGTCTTTCGAACCATCAGTATAAATTTGCAAATAATCATTATGTTTATTCTGTATTTTATTATAAAATTCTTGGCAAATATCTGTTATATTTCTTTTCTTAATATTTGATAGTGATCTGTCTATATTAATATATTTCCATGTCCATGTAGGTCTCAAAGGCCAAGATACGGTTAGACTAAATTCTTTGTTAAATACATTAAATGTTTTTGTTCTGTCATCCTCAACCCACCCAAAACTAATAAATTGTTCCTTTCCTCTTTCCCAACAATTTTCTAATACTTTCTTAACTGGTTGATCTTTGTTATGTCTTTTTAAATGTATCCAGTAATTATCCATTATCTGTTGTCTTGTGATACGTACTGGCTTTTCTCCTGATTCTACTTGTAAAGCACATACTTTGCAAGTATAAACAAATTCTCATTGCTCTAGCTATAACATCTAATTTCTTAAACCTAGTTTTATCCGCTGAACCACACATCACACTTCCATAATCTATTCTAGACCAAATCAGTGACACATCAACATTTTTAAGTGATTCAAAACTTGCACCCATGTCAACCCTGCTAAACACCTCATAATGTTAAGAACCTTTTTACTTTTCTCCATAACATGTTCTATGTCATTTTCCCAAGTTAGTTTCCTACCAAAAAACAAAAACAGTCAACCCTTTCTAACTCTTTTCCATATAAATACAACTTTTTATCAACCCCAATTTTTTTTATTTGTAAAAAAATAATTGAAAATTTCAAACCTCCACTGTATTCCCCTCTTACCCACTTTATCTATGGCTTTCTCAAGTTGTAAAATAAAATGTTCTACATTTCTTCCCCTTTTCCATCATCAGCAAAAAGCAACTTGCCAAAACTAAATGATAAATCTTGAAAAACATCATCAATCATAACTGAGAAATAATGTTGGGTTTACCACACCTCCTTGAGGAGTTCCATTTTCTATTCTACACAATTGTGAAACATAAAATCCTATTTTGACTTGAATAGTTCTGTCACATAAAAAAATCCATAAGCAATTAAACATATTACCTCCAATACCTGTCTGACGTAATTTAATCATCAACCCTTCTCTCTATAGCAAATCGTATGTTTTTCCACATCAAAAGGAATGGTATTGAATTAACAGTTGCTTGGGAGGGGCAAGAACCGTCTCTTTTAGCTTTAGTTTGAGCGACAGAATTTGAATCGTGGAAAAGACCCAAAATTCCCATGATTTATTTCAAGCAGGGGAGGGGATGTAATCTCTGATATGTTGAAGAATCATCCAGTCTAAAATGCAGAAATGAGTTTTGCCCCTTTAAATCCAGTGAAAGGTTAGCTTGACAAAGTCTGGACTGGATACAATTCCACTGTCTACTTTGACTGAATCTAAAGTCTATATAGTCGAATTAATGGAGAATAAAACAAAAATAGCATTCTGAACTAAAAGGGGAAGGAGACGATTAGATGCACCAAGTGCACCAGGCCGCTTTCCTTGATTCAGAAGAAAAGCTAAATTTGAACTCCTCGGTGAGTAATTAATAAAGAATAAGTGGAAAGTTATTATTTTTTTAATCAATACATAGGTTTTGTAAATGTGACATAAAACAGATTTTGGGGGGAGTAATACCGCATTTGGCCACCAGAGGGCGACGCTAAAACAGAAACAGAAAGGAGAAAAGCTCTCCAGTGCCACCGCAGTCCGCAGTTATTTCTACCATGCTATGAATAAGGAGATGATGAAGCTTCGTGTGCGCATGTTGCGAGTGAGGGGCCTGTGCTCCGTGGACTGGATCCACCATTTGCTGAAATCCACACAGTCACGTAGCGTCAAGATGGTTTCTTTTCCCAGTTTCTTTCTCTTTTTTTTTTTTGTGGCAGTTTTCAGTTATGACTCCTCCTATTTAAATTTTCTCTGTCCAATCAGGCCATCTGAGCCTATTTTTTGCTGACAATCTGAAACGCTTGACAGAGGCTCACTTCATCTCAAACATGAGGGATCTTCAGCGTTTTGATATTCAGCCGCTTGGTGATGTGAAAGCATCATCTGAGAGCCGCCCGAGTCATTTTTGGAAACGAAAGGAAACCTCGCTACGACTCAGATGCAGCAGATCTCACATGATCACGCACAATTAGTAAGAAACTGGCTCTCTCTACTGTGATTGCTGTTTTGAAAACGAGCGGGAAGTGACGGTTAATGATGACATCATGTCGGCTGATGATCCGTGCAGCTTTTTTTCCCTCTGGTTGTTTTGTTTTGTTATTATTCTTTTGTTTGTTTGTTGTTGTTTTTTTGCTTTCGCCTGTTTATAATCTTTGACATTTAGCTATTTAAATGTATAGTCACAATATTCCCCAGTTTATGGGCCAGGGATGCCTGTGCTGCGTTCAGGGGTCATTTGAGGTGAAATCTGTTTGTTTTGTGCTGCGGTATGGCGTCTATAAAACCTATACGAACCTACAGTGTAAACAGTTTAAGGCCAAAAAAGTCTTGTGTGAATATTTTTGTGTTGTGTTCTTCGGCTCGAATCACGCATTTGAATAACTTTGTGTTCTGTCAGAAATCCATGTTCCACTATTAAAACGCTGAATTAGAAACACACGTGTTACTAATGCAGTTCTTGGATCCTCAAAGGGAATGTTTTTCTGTACAGCTTGGTTTGGGTTTGCAAAAACCAACTGTGTGGTTCATTTTTAATGATGATAATTATTTTTATAATATCATGATGTTGATATGCGTGTGTGCGCGTGTGCATGTGTGTGTGTAAGTGTGTGTGTGTGTCTTCTTGGGGCCTGCTGAAAACTTGAATCGCTGCGTCCTGCGTTTCTGCTGCAATATAAGGGACATTTCTCTTTTTATTCAGCATTACACCTATTTTTTTATATCATTTTGAAAAAATATAAATATCTTTAAATCAGTTTGTTTCAATTTGCTAAATTCAAATGAATTAAATTTAATATATTTTTTTTAGATTCATCTAAGCAACTATGTAAAGGAATTATTTTGAGACATGCGATGCTGCAGATGAGCTTGTCAAATGTAATAAAGGGTTAATAGGAAATGTACATGCCATAAAACAAACGTTACTTCAGCTGAATGAACCAGGAAGTCATCGCTGTAAAAACAGATAAAAATACAATACGATTGAAGTGATCCATTCTAAAATACACAGCATGTTAGTTGTATGGGGGGAGGGAAATGTATGACTTTAAAAGTCGTAAAAAAAATTATTAATGCACTGCAAAATATGGCACCACCTTAGCTCATCCAACAAAGTATGATTAGGCTTTGTCCAAATCTATATTGCGAAGCATTAAAGTAACTTCTTGTTGTTCGTGGTAATACAGACACTCTGCGACTTTATGACAAAGTGACTGAAATCATAGATCAGATGAACATGCATAGATAAAATATGAACAAAGTGGGTCCTCGAGGGCCGCCATCCTGCGCGTTTTAGTTCTCACCCCGGTTTAACGCACCTCAATGGCTCGTTGAAGGCCTAAGAAGAACACTGACCTGCTTTCTAATATTTTTCTATTTATTTTTATTTATTTTGTGTCCAGGTGGTAAGGCATTGGTTAAGGCGCTACACGAGGCAGGGGCTGCCCCCCCAATCACGCGCACGGTGGCTCACGACGCCGCCAACGCAAAACCGGCCTCTGGAAGAGAATATAACCACTGCGCAGTTTTCCAAAAGTCAGCATCTCTACGTGTCTGACAGCCTTTCCATTCCGGTCTCAGTTGAATTAAAGATCCACCTGATTCTCCTCAGAGGAGTGGCATGAGGTCAGCCAAAAGCAGAAAACTACCAAGATGCATGACCGCTGTGACTCAAAATCACGCTTATTCCACCTACTGATTTTTTTTTAAACTCTTCTTGAGTTAAAACATTAGCATCGTTGTTTCTAAATGAACACGGACTTTGTTTTCTCTGCATCATTTGAAAGCGCTTAGTCTATTTCTTATTTCCTGCAAATGCAACAGTTTGTGCTGACAGTTAAATAGAACGTTGGTGGATTTAGAATTAAATAATAATAATAATTTTACTCAAACGAGTAAAATCAGAGAACTGTTTGCAGTGGTCTCTCTCTCTCTCTTTCTTTTTCCAGAGTTGCATAGCGTGCTGATCGATAAGTGGGTTCACGTCATTGACCAAAAGGGAAACCTGCAGCTGCACTTGACTACGAGGGAGGAACATCTGGCAGGTGGCCAAGCTGCATAACACCAGCGATCCTCAGAGGGTCCAGGCGAACACCCTGTGGTGGTGTCGCAGGACTCCAGGGGGGTAGAGGCGTCTAAAGGGCTGAAGAAAAAGTATGTCTGCTGCTCTGTTCTTGTTCCCGAATGAGTGATGGGGGTTGGCATGATGGCATGAGGCCTGGATCAAAACGTTTTAGGATGCTGCCACTCGACAACATCCTTTAAAAATAAGGTTTTAATTAATTTCATTTTACTTTGCAATAAAAACAGTCATTTTTAAAGAAAAACTGGGGGGGAAAAATCCACCAACGTTCTGTAAAGTTGTTCATGTTAACGGCTTAGTGCGGTGTCTCGCCGCAGTCGATGCATTATTTGAAACAGAAAAGCTTTGAACACTTTGAACATAAGACTTCGGTCCAGATCACTTTGATGAGAGCGGTTTAGTCGAATAAAGGAAAAATAAAGGAACCAGTAAAATCAATTTTAAAAAAATGGATAAAGTAACCAAAAAAAAAAAAATCAACAACACAAAAATCTCAATTGTGTGTAAATTGTGGCCTCGGCTGCGGACTTTGTTGATTAGAGCAAAACTGCAACATTTAATCACCACTGCGCCAATAACCCAATGTGTGAACCCTCTGTGTCAAAATTAAATAGGTGGAACTTAGATTCTGTAAGGTCCTTACAGGATATTTTCATTTTCCAACTTCCCCCTCCTACTTGCTTCTGGGAAGTTGACTGGATTATGCACAAGCTCAGTTTTAAAAATGGGTCTCTCGTTTCGCTGTGTTAGGTGATGTGTGTACATATTGTGTGGTATTTGCTGTGAGAGAAAATCTGGGTTGATAAATTATTGATCAATGAACATGGATGGTCGACAGCAGTTCTTTGTTCAGATTTGTCGTTTGGCTGTCTCTGGTACAAAGGAACTGGATTTTCAAGGTCAAGTCTAAACTTGATGACTGTGATTTTACGCCTACCCAGACTCAAGCCCGGTGCCATGTGCGGTCATTGGTGGGCCCTGCCCGCCCACACAGTCGGCTGTGCCCCGCTGGACTGGAAGCTGTTTGTTGTTTTTACCCTAAAGCGGCCAACTCTCTGTTATTTGATTTGATACAGTTGGGGCTTCCGCACTTACCATGTCTGTGCCTTCTGTCACTTTTTTCAGTAGTTAGAACTGTTCAATCCGCCCCGTGGGTAAATGTCAGAAAACGTCATAGCCTGCTTTTCTGAGCCGCCTTTAACCCTTTCAGGCTCAAATTACTTGCAAAGACTGGCTAAGTTGTTGCAAATGTGCAACATCTGCCTGGAGATGGTTAAACGCAACCTGAGCTCAGAGTCGCTCGTGCTGGGTTTAATTAGCCTACACCTGTGCAGCGTCGGGGGCTGTTGCTCAGGTGTGTGTGTTTGAATCATGGCAGCAAACCAGCAAAGCACAAAGAACTTTGCATCAACGTGTCTGGCAATCCGTTTTGAACTAATTTATTTTGGGAAATGTAAGATGATTTTTGACCTACTATGGCGTATAAGCTTACTGTATGCCTGTGGCGCTGATCCGTGTTGAGGTCAGATGACAGAAAAATCAGAACTGATTATTAAAACTTGAGGTGGAATATGTCTGTATCGCTGGTCGCCAAAAGTACAAAACTCTCTGTGAGGGCCTGAACTAAGAAGCGTCCAGTGGTCAGCTCTTTTTTTAATCCCCCGACTCTTAAAGTGACCAACATTGCAAGGAACGGTGGACCTGCAGCTGCTTTCTGGCTGCAAAGGAATTTAATGCATGTAATGAACTGGACATGCACTAAAGCGAGCGGCATGTTTTCTTTCTTTTTTTTTTTCATTTATTTAATCAGGTAAAATAAAACAAACAAACAAAAAAAAACCCATTGACATCTAGATCTCATTTGCAAGAGGGACCTGGGCAGAAATCTGCGATTTATTTGTTGCATTACTTTTATGTACATATAAACAATACGCCACAAATTCGTACATGCATGCAAAGTGTTTTTTTTTTCTTTCCTTAATGGAAACTTGGAAGAGAATATAATTATATTAATTATGGAAGATAAGATATGTATTTCTTAGCCTGTGATTATCTAAGTGGCCGCCATTTCCGGGTGAGCTATTTTTAATCTAAAAGCGTCATGTGCAGATTGTGACTAGCTAACAGATTCATATAAATCTAAATGCATAACGTGATTCCATATTAAATGTTGCGCTAAAACATATTTATTTAAATGAAACTTTTAAAAAGTTTGCAAGATGCTTCCCGCATCCCCTCGCCCCGTCTGATAATTTAACACTTTTTTTTTTACAAACTAATCTCCGTAGGGCTTTTCTGTTAAACGCAAACAGTGCAGGGAATAAATGTAATAAAAGTCAGATCGAGATCTCAATGTCGTTCCCATTAAACAGCTCCAGTATCCGATTTCCCCGAGGGATTAATAAGCAACAACAACAACAAAAAAAAAAACGTTCTTCTTTGTTCATGATATGAGTGACGTATGTTTCCCATGTATTTCTCACTGCATTACAATATAGTTTGTAGACGTTTGTTTTATAATCTAATTCAGTTTTTTATTCTCTCTTTCCCTCTATTACAGACTTCTATTCAGTGAAGATCAGGACGTGGAGTTTGTTGTCAGAAACATTCTGACATTCACACATGGATTAAAATATATAAATACAACTGTAAATGTGTGTTTTCCAAATTAAAGCGAGAGGTTCATTTTTTACATCTTTGAAAGTTTAAAACAGATCCTGCTTTGGATTTGTAGACTCATGACAGGATTGGACTATACCCTTAAGGGTGAGCTATTTTTAATCTAAAAGCGTAGTGCTCATTTTAGCCATTATGACTATATTTTCTCGGACAACCTCTGAAAGTTTCTGTCTATTTGCTCCGGGACCAGTAAGGCGAAGCAGAAGACTGGAGGTGAACCAATGAAACCCCATTCCCCACTCAAGACTGTGTTCATAATTTTCTGTTGTCTCCACAGATTGAAGCTTTCAGTATGCGTCTGTTGTTATTGCAACGATAAACAAATGAGAAAAGAATCATCATCAGGTACGATTGTCACTTGATGAGTCCAAATATCATTGACAATATTTCATGTTTTCCATTAATAAAATACATAGAGCAACATATTCCACTAGGGAAGAAATAGGTTCACTGACTAAAAGCTAAAAGCCTTTTAGCTTTCAGTAGAGAAACTTCACTTCTTGTGAATTCAAGAGGAAAGATGAATTGTGAAAATGCCTTCCTGTGCTGAGATTATAAGAAATGACAGCTATGTGTGCGTATGTGTGGGTATTTCACCAAAGTTGTGCAGTCGAACTGACCCATATTGTTAGCTTTAACAGAAACACATGCAGGTGATTACAACATTCCTGTTTGCTAATATTTGATCTTGTGCTCTCTAAAATTAAAACTCTTGGTAAAGGTGAGGTAAGAAACCCTCTAAGACACTGGATTGTCAAGGTCAGGTCTAAATTCGATGACCTGCACACAATCGTTGGCCACTGAAAATAGGCATTTTTATAGTTTATTAGATGTATGCATCTCATCCTTTTCATGAAGAAGATCATTATGTCCATCAGAAGTCCTCTTCATTTTAAGCTGTTGAATGTCAACATCAACAAAACAAACTTGAATCTAAATGAAACAAACTGAAGGCTTTGGATTTCGAAACAAAAAATTGGAAGTGATGAGTAACAGCTTCCTTATTTACTCTCCACAAAGGACAAAAAATGCAACTGAACATACTTTTGTTCAGTTGCATTTTTGTTATGAGCTTCTTGCCTAATTAGTCAGTTACCACATTATCAAAGCTTTCTAAGTAAACTACTTCACCTTCATCCCAAGATCTTATTAAGCCACCCTTGCAGATTCATTTGTTGATAACAGCGTTTTCCAGTCATCTCCTTACTGGAGGTCAATATTTTGAGTAACAAACAAAGGGGGTCTATAGCAAAGTGGATGCAGGATTACATATCTGAAATAATTTCATTGGTATAGTCTGCTCACACACACACACACATGAAAATATTTAGAGTCATAATCATACAGAAGTCACCCATTCATGAAGCTGGTGGTTATTTTAAAGCAAAAATTTAACAGCTGCGTTATTCAAAGAGAGAAGTGCCCCATTTGTGTGGACAGACTATTCTTTTGCAACCATTTCAGGAACTGGCTATATCTTGACCTTCATTGATAAAGTCCCAAAATTACTTAAATTAACTTTTTTCTCACAATTAAAGAAAGGAAGCACAGTCTGGTCTGTTGACTTTGATCATGTTTTAAGCAGCCTATTCGGAGCCCTGAAGAGCTGAATTGAAAATGGCACAAAAAGAAAAAAAAAGTGTGCCCCAAAATAAAGCTACTTTTATAACAAAAAACATTTTGTAAAAACATATAAAGACAAACTGCAGAAAATGACAAAACCCTGGTTGGTCGGGGGCTCTTTCATTTGAAAAAGGATGACTGTGGAGAAGAGGGCTGCTTGCTGCAGAAAGTCATTTTGTGGAAAGACAGAACAGTAAGAAAGTGTGTGTGGGTGTGTGGGTGTGCGCGGGAGGAGGGGCGGGGATGCTCTTTACTGTTCAGGGCTATTTTTGCTTTTACTGTCGTAAAATGTATAATAATATGCAAATTACTAAACATGCTTTAATTAAGCAAACTTGCAGGAACGAATTAGACGCTGAGTGTTAGACTGGCAGAGCCCATTTTGTCAGTAAAGTTTGAATTTGAAATGTGTTCCGGATTTTATTCTCCCATCAAGTTCGTGACCCGCCACGTTTGGAGATGAAAGGGTGGCTGCTGCGCTGGTTCGCTCCTTCACAGTTCGCCGGCAGACGATCTGGTTGAGAGGCGACGGGAAGCGGCAGCGCTTTCCTGTGACGTGGATGAAGACAGAGAGGAGAGAGAATAACTTCTGCGCTCTCAGTGGTCCTTTACAGCTATCATAGCATATTATACATATACACTGACTTTATTTAATCGCATCCTGCTGAGGGCGCTGCTGTGTGGCTAATATAAGTCACATGATTGAAGTGCATCAGGATTGGTGGTCCAGTTTGAACTTGGGTGTAGACTACACCTCCCCGGAGCAACAGCCGCTCCGCTGGGTGACAAAATGGTGCGAACCCGTGTCTTGTTCTTCTTTTTGTCCTGTAGCGAGGCTGCGCCCAATCAGGCCAACTTCATGGTTTTTAAAACAAAGCGCCTGAACGTTTCAAGTCAAACAAAAAAGTAGCGCTCCAGTCTTCCTCGCTTTGAACCTAAAACACACCGATTTTGTATCACAGGGTATTTCTATTTTTACCATAAGTATTAATATTGCAAATTCTTTCGGTCGGGTTGTGGTCATCCGCGCTGTAATCTCTGGAAACGACATGTTTCTCTATGATTCAGCGATATTTGGATCCAACCTGGGCTGCTGGTCGTGCATGATGACGCCTGGTTATCTTTATTCTAGCTGATTGTTTTAAGAAATGGGACACCAGCCGTTTGTTAATGACACTATGCTGCAGGATTGCTTTGTCAAGTCTCTGATTTTAATTCAGTTTATGATTATTTCCCCATGTTTGACTGACAGGCTTGCTACGTGTAAGAAGTCTCTAATGTTTCCGAATAAGAGGAAGACATGTGCTGCGATTCAAGTAAGTTCCACACTCTTTTTCGTTGTGTTTGTATTTTTATTTTCTTTCGAAGCCATTTTATATTTTTAATTTTCACATACAAAAAGGAGCATATTTATTGTAGTGTGGTAAATTCATCACCAACAGGTGTGGGTCATAAGATAAATGAGCAATGCTTTCAAAATTTGAACATGAATTTATAGTTAAGCAAAACATAGGCTAAAGAATATATATATATATATATATATATATATATATATATATATATATATATATATATAAATTTAAAGCATTCATCTTAGGCATATTTTAGAGATTTTAGCATTTGAGGAAAAATACAAATGTCTGTCTGCACATGTATCCAGGAAGAGTCTATCAGCTTTTGGCAGACATTTTAAGACCACATGAATGTGGGAGAAACAAATTAATTTTTTATATATATATATGGCGAACCAACCAGACATTGTCGTAGTGGATAAAAATCAGAGGAAAGCCGTTGTGGTAGATGTAGCAATACCAAGTGATTGCAACATCAGGAAAAAGGAGCACGAGAAACTGGAGAAATACCGGCCTCAGGGAAGAACTGGAGAGGGCCTGGAAGGTGAAGACCACAGTGGTGCCTGTGGTCATCGGGGCCCTCGGGGCAGTAACCCCCAAACTGGAGCAGTGGCTACAACAGATCCCAGGAACAACATCAGACATCTCAGTCCAGAAATGTGCAGTCCTTGGCACAGCCAAGATACTGCAGGACCCTCAAGCTCCCAGGCCTCTGGTAGAGGACCCGAGCTCAGAGGATAAGAACCACCGCGGTGGGTGAGAAGGGAATTTTTTATATTAAACACTTCTAAGTGTTTTTGTAACCAAAAACACTTAGAAGGTTGTGGCTTATTTTTCACATGTATAGATTGCTGAGTGGTGCACTACCAAACATTGTTACCTTCTGCCTTTTATTTTTATGTTAAAAATATTATGTTAATGTTCTAAAATACTATAAATTTCTAGGTATACTGTGAGATTAAGTAAAATGTTTATCACACCAATTCATAGTTTGTAATTGTAGGACGTGTGAAGAATGGACGTAGGTTTGGATGCATAAAATTATATAAGAAAAGAAATAATAATATGCCATTTTGAGGTGATCAGAGCAGCAGAAAGAGAAGGAGGAGAAGAAAAGGAGAGGAGGGGAGAGAGAGGAGAGAGGAGGGGCCTCAGGTTGATCACACCACAAAGACAGACATTTTTTCTCTGTTTAAGGAGAATGGTGCGCCGATCAGACCTGCTCTGTAATGCCTCAGCGTGTGGGAAGCTGGAAGAGGTGTTGGATTTACTGCAAGCTGGAGCTGATGTTAATGGACTGAATGAGTTTCAGAGGACTCCTCTGCAGGTTGGGCTAATAGTTCACTTTCTTCTATTTAGTAAAATTGGCAGTATTACATCAACTCTGTGCTAAGTATTTAATTTGTGTAAATGTAACTCTTTCAGTTATTTTAACAAGGGAGGATAGTTTTAACTCTTGAAAGAGTTGAAGTTTCTCAATCTCTTGTTGAAACTCCCCATGCCATTTATAAAAGCTCCAATAGAAACTGCAGTGTTGATTTAACTGTAATGTCCTGCTTTCTCTCTCTCTATGTTCAAAAGTAAGCTACATTTTTTTTACTGTGTGCTGGAGTTTTATTTATTCCGTATTGACTATATCATATCTTACAAATTAAAAATGTCTAACCTAAACTAATTAGCAGGGTTTTTTTTCAGACTTGTGAACTCAGTCATAACAAAGAGAGAGATAATTATTTTATTCCTTTTTGCTATTTTTGTTAGTTTGTTTTTGATAAAAAATGCTAAAACATTTTTTGAGATGAAGTGCAAATGGAGAGAAAGTAGGAAGTTGTTTCTCAGTGGAAAAATACAGGCCTCATGTTAGAGGTGAAGTCTTAGCATGCTGAAATGAGAGCTGGATTCACGGGGACACTTTGCACTTTATTTTTTTTTTCAACAAGTAAGCTTTAAACTATTTTTACACACACTATATTCCTATATCTTGATGGGGACTTTGCAATGACTTCCATTCCCTTTTCATTTAGGGGTGGACATTACAATTTTTCTCTACCAGCTTTCTGTGGCTGGTAGAGAATCATTAAACTTCACCTCAAAAATGAGGCCTGTGTTTTTCCACTTGAGTCATAGCTCATGGAATGGGGGTAGAAGGGCATCACCTTGACCTCCCCATGAATGAATATCCCCATTCATTCAGTCATTCCCAGGGGAATACGGTTATGATATTTCACAATATCAAATAAACTAATGAAACGAGGGCACATTTCAAAAACTAACAACATAAAAATGCTGTCGCAACCTCAAGTGTGGACATATGCACAAGAGGGGCCAACTTACAGATATGCCTAAGGAGTCAGTATCCTCTCCCTTTCTGCACAAGGATACTGCTTTCAGGCGTTGTCTCCAATAACGGGGGAAAGAATGCTGGAGGTGTGGGTCTGAAAAGTTGTCAGGTTCGATTGTGAGTCCTTCCGCCAACGAAAGTAGTCCTCTCTTTTACTGCAAGAATCGTTTTACGTTCATTTTAATGTATGAACTATCTTTTAGTCAATAGAAATTAAAATTAAATCATAAAAAAACAGTTATCGTTGTTTAATTTTCACTGACGAGCCTTGGGTCCAAGAAAGTAACGGAATTCCTGAACGCGGTTTGCTAATCAAGCTGGATTCAATTTCCACTGCGCTCCCACTCTTTTTTTTAATCTTTTTATTATTTTTAGTTTTCTAAGTGCAAAACTTAAAATCCGTAGTTTCCTCAACTCATGGTCATAAGACAAAATGATCAATTAACATAACTTACTGTTATGTTATCACTGAAGAAAGCTGACATACATCATCATTAAAGTATGTAAGGGCGCTGAATCACAGCGCCAACGCCCTCTTCAGTTCTAAATTAAACCTCTGCCCAGTTGCCGTGGACCCTCTTATCTCTTATTTTCCTCGTGTTTCCAGGTGGCGATGCTCGGGAGCACCAAACTCGTCGAGGTTCTCCTCGCGGCAGGAGCCGACCCCAACGCGCGCGACCAGGTCCTGAACCTTACCGTGACTCACGACGCCGCGCGCGCGGGTTTTGTGGAGACCGTGCGCGCGCTGGTCAATCACGGAGCGGACGTGAATCTCGCGGACGAAATCGGCAACCTGCCGCTGCATCTGGCCGCGAGGGAGGGCCACCTGGAGGTGGTGAGGATTCTCCTGGACCTCACCGAGGACCCCCGGAGGACCAACCACGAGGGGCACAGCGCGCTGTGGCTGGCACGAGACTTCAACCGCGTGGAGACGGCTAACTTCATTGAACAATATCTGGGACTCTGAGTGACGTGAGGGAAGGTCTTGTTGCTGATTTGTTTATCATAACGGGCCCTCAGAGGAAGAGCAGCTCTTGTAGTAGGCCTATTGTCATGACGCGAATGAAAAATGTTATTTTACCAGAGTCGCCTTCAGACTCTGTTACTCACCAGAGGTCAGTAACAGAAATTAGTCTTCAGTGTCGCACCCTATTCCTGCGTTTATCTTTAATAAAAGGGCTTTTGCGACAAACTTGTCCCAAAAAGAGGCAACTTCCTCACCTCCTCCAGCAGGGGCGCTGCCATTGTTTTTTGTTGCTCAAATAAATAAGTTTGTTTGGAGCTTTTACTGTTGGGTCGATAGCGCTCTTCTTCTCTGTGCCGAAGCGCTTTCTGGATAAAATGCGTCTTTATCATGTCACGTCAAAAGCTATGCTGGTTGTAAAAACAAGAAATGTCCTTCAGCGACACGCATGTGTCATTTTTGTGCTCAGTTTTCTCAAATGTACAGTCTGACTGTGAAAGATGGGCCCACAGTCAATTGACGTTTCAAATCACTTTATTTTCACAATTTTAAAAACCACAACAAAAAAGTTATACACATTGCAATAAGTAGGTGTCTTCTTCGAGTCTGCGCCACAAAGACAAAGGCAATTTTCTGGAGCCGGGTTGTTTATGTTTGTAAATATGTGCAAAATGCCTTAAAATAGCTACATTGTTTTGTTGCAGGAGCATAATCTCAGTCTGAAAATGGTCCTCAACATCCCAGTACATTTATTTAGTTGCGTAGAAACAATTAACTAGTTATTAACTTACTACTTTGTACAACCACTTTTCGATTCAATTCAGTAAAAAAAAAACAACTTAATTTATCCGAAATGGAAATGAAATAACTAAATACACAATCTTTTGTCAATAGAACAGAACTTCAGTGACTCATCACAAAGAGAGGGATATTATTCCATCTTTGCGTCATTTCTCGAGGCCTGAGCTTCAGGTTTTCAGAAACATTTAGATGTGGGGAATGCGATGGCCATGGGGGCCATTTTCCCCTTTGGAGGAACAAAATAGCCACATGCAGATCACAACTATTTCTTGTTGCGTCAAGTCTGTTTGTGTGGTTTGAATTATGATGGATTTTGAGGCCTCCTGTTCTCTCCGCCGGTCATTTGAAAGCTACACGATTGAATGAACTTTCTGGAAACGCAGCGTGCGCCACTGCAGAACTGGATCCGCCAGGTGTAATGCGCGAAAAGTAAAAAAAGAATTTGCAAGCAATTCGACCTGCAGTGGTTATTAACACTTGCGGGCCTCGGTTTCATTTCGAGTAGAAGGTCGGCTGCACTCACTTCACATTTGTTTATTTATGGTAAAGAAGAAATAATTATAACATAAGTGCAAATTAGGAAGATAGTTCTCTAAGTAATAAGCGCGTTTTGGGTTTTGACTATATTCTGACCCGCAGAGCCTCCTGCTCTGTGGAGGCTGCAGAACTTTCTCATCTGAAAAAAAGGAAAAGAGGGGGAGGAGTTCAGCCATATATGGACTTGCATAATAGATGGGGAGTTTTTTCTTTGACGTGGACTCATACGTTCAGGGTTTTAATTGGCTGGAGAGAGTTTACAGACTGACCTATCAGTGATCTGTTCTGCATAGGAGACTGCATTTAGAGCAGTTTCATAAATAAGCTTTCTGTGACGCATATTTCATGAGTGCTTGTAACTGCAGTAATTTGAAGTTTGTAAACTGAGACATCTGAAATAAATCATTCTCTTTCTCTCTTACAGACTTGAAACGTGAAGACCGGGACCTTATAACCAAAATAAAAACAAAATTGATCGAGCATCTGTCTTCATTATATGGAAAAGTTAGAGCAAATAAAATGTGCCATGTTCTCATTTCCCCCTTTGTTGTGTGCTTACCTTTACCTTCAGGCTCAAATTACCTGACACGCAATCTCCACTGCAGCGAAAATGATCGTTTTAATATGACATAAAAACTTTGCTAAGATATGCTGTACAAATAAACTTGATTGATTCATTTAAAATAAGCATTTGACACTGCAATGTTTGCAAAGTAAGCACATTCAAGAGATTATTGACATGCAATATGCCAGTATCACCCAGGTGGTCTAAAGCTCCAAAGAAATTTCTCCATAAATTATAATAAATCAGGATTGTTACCATTACAAGATAACTAGTTGAGTCCCAATTGATTGCCAATAAAAACCTATCAGTTTCTGGAAGTTCCTGTGAGAACAGCATGGGCAAAAGTGAAAAAGTATCACACACTATACCTGCAGTGATGTTTGAAGGTGGAAACATTATGATGCGAGGCTTCATAATGCCATATATGATATATTCACATAACTGAGTAATATATGATTCAACAACTGTACTAAAAAGGTCAAATGTCAACAAGGGAGAGATGACTTTCTCAGCAATACAATTATCCTAAATAAAAAACAATGAAACTCTTACCTAGTCATTGTGAGAAACTCAGTGAGTTTCATTTTCTTAATTTTGTTTTTCATAAAAAACCTTTTTTTTTCAGTTTTTTTTTATAAAAAACTTTTTCAGTTTTTTTTAAACTGAAAAAAGTTTCAATTTTAAAAATCAACAAAACAGAAACTAACTAAATAGCTTTAACTTTAATTCAAAAGAAAATCTGTAGAAAGAACTGAAGATTAGTATAAAGACGCCCAGAAAAAATGTCAAAATTTATATGGGTCAATAATTTCTGAACAATGAAACTTGTTTCTCCATGTAAGATACAGCTTGGAATAACAAATATTATTTAGAATGAGTATTTCTTCAGAGAAAGTTCACAAGACTTCACATATTAAACTTCTTCAAATTTGAATTATTTGGGACATTTCATACAGACTAAAGGCTAATAGCCCATAGGCCAATTCATATTAGCCTATTTAGTAACATATTTACTAATATGTTATTTACATAAAATACTTTATTTCCCCGCGGTAATTAAGCCTCAAAAAATTATTTTAGGCTGCTATGAAGTTGCTAGAAATGTCTTGAATCAAGATTAAGAGTCGTATGAATCAAATATCAACACTATGAGAAACTGAAAGCTGTTGAGTTTTACAGTTGAAGCGGAAATTTAGGAAAGCAGTGAAGCGCCCCCAGCAGTTGTGCTTTTTTGCATGTTTATTTGCTTTTAATACAGAGCATATGCATATTTAATCTGACAAGAAAAGTTATTACAAGCATTCACAAACACATACATACTCCATCCACATGTGAGAACATCTTGCCATTTTGTTCTTTAGAAATTAAAAAGGAAACGCCTTAAAAACACTCAGTCACGTGAGTTTGGTCGAATTTCAATAAATAGGTCACCAAAATAATGAGTCAGAGTCCAACAGTACTCCATTTTGTGATTAAGCAACATCTTGTGCACAGATGTGGAGACAAAGGAAATGTTTCTGTCTGTATACGGACTCCAATCCTGGGCCAAAACTTGAGATAAAATAGCTGGAAAACCTCTAATTTTATCAGTTCTGCTGCCAAACTAAAGTAGAGGGCATTGTTGCCACATTATTTCCAAAAAAAGAATGAAAAGTTACACCATACAGCAGCCTCTCTCACATGTGTAAAGTATAAGGCCAAGAAGCTCCATCTAGCGGATGGAGGACAATATGTACAACAAAGATATAAAGTACTGTGCAAAAAACAAAAGTACAGATGGCTGATCAGCTATATGAAGGTTTCCAAAAATACTCAGGGTGGGAGCCGTAAAGCCTGTAACACATCATTTCTAAGTCTCAATGAGAGCTTACTTGTTTTCTCATTTAAAACATGATCCAAGTTATGCAAGCAGGGCAGAAGGAGAATATAACAAAGTCATTTAATTTTTTTGTGCTCTTTCAGGTTAACTGGGAGACATTGAGAACAAAATGTAAAAATGTAGCAGATCAATAAAATTGAGGCCATTTGTGCCACATAGGAAATATTACATTTAAATAGAAATATGATTAAATAAAAGACAACTGGTCCTAAATGCAAACAACTAAACATTTTTTGCCTTTGTTTTGATGAGGCCTCAAAACGTTTTCTCTTGTATTTTCTGCCAGTTTATAGATGCAACAACTCTTTTGGGGATTTTCATATAGCAGATATTGTTAATAACATCATAAAAATGTTGATTCTATTGTTCTAATCTGACTACAATGTGCAAAAAAAAAAAAAAAAAAAAAAAAACAAAGCTGTTGAGCTGTGCTTTCGCTAGTAATCTGAGGGATGGATCCAAACTTTAGACAGGACAGTTTTACCAGCAATCCATCTCATTAGTAAATGAAGAACATACACTGAATGTCCTTTTGTTATGTCCACACTCTTGGTGAACACAGATTCAACAAAGCCCTTTAAGTTGGAAAACAAAAACACTTCACGAAACCACAGGACAGTCAATCAAGCCGTTAACCAGTCATGTTTGACAGAAAGGATCTGTACAGACTAACAGAACTAGGCCTGTGTGCTGAAGACGACTAGTGCAGGCCTGTGGTGTCTCAGCACTAAACATCAGTAGTCTTAAGTTGGACGTCCATCTCAAACTATCCCACCTGCAGGCCGCTTTGCAGCAGAGATGGTTTCTCAGCTAATGCGACTCTGCAGTTCTCACATCTGCTGGGGATCATCTCTTTTAGCATTTATTATGAACTCTATCAGTTACCAACAGTCCACGAGACATAATATGCAGCCCGCTGATGAAGATCAGATGCCTCTTGTCTCTTCTGGTGGACACATTTCTGAGGCTGGAAGTCAATGACGGAATTGTGCATGTGTGTTTTTGTGTATGCGCACACATTATATGTTAAAAGTCTTCTTAATCATGACATTTGCTCTGGAACGCTTCAGTTCTCTTCTCCGATTCCTACCTTCACACCAGCTGTCTTCCCTACTGTCTTTACTCCATCAGTCCTTTCTCAGATACAGTCCTGTCCAGCAGGCTAACTGAGGAAATGTTGCACAAACACAGAGTCATTTATATGCCTTCACATTTAAGTACATATATCAGCACAGAAACAGAATTGAGCCAACATTTTTAACCCTCCTCAAATCGTGACCTAAACTTCATAATCTTACTAATCCGGGATATAAGTTAGCTGTGAGGGGGTTCAGGTTATATGACGTGTGGGTAGATTTTGCTGTTCCAGTGTGATCCAGGGGCCGGTTAGTTGGTCTCGTAGGAGGAGAGCAGTGCTGCGTCCACCGGCTCCATGCAGGAGGGGCAAGTGAAGGATCTCATCAGCCAGTCGTCTATACAGTCCATGTGGTAGATGTGCATGCAGGGCAGGAACCGGATGGGGTCTCCATAAACGAAGTCCATCATGCAGATGACACACCTGTGGAGGTGAACACAGAAACACAGAGGTAACAGACAGCATTATTACTAAACTGAGTTTGTGTTGACAAACGCATTAATGCAACAAAATGGTTTCTAGGGTTGCACAATATTAAAAGATCTTGCGACGGCAATATTATTGGTGAATATTGTGAAGGACTCCTAAAACATATTAGCCAACAATCCAAATCCATACAGTCTTTTGCAACATGAATATTGCTAACACTGACTTTGCAATAACGTCCACAGACATAATGGGAAAACCACTAGGTGGAGCCAAACCAATCATATTTGACATAAAATATTTGTCAAAGATTATTTATCATAAAAATAATTTGTTAAATAAAAAATTAAACAACTTTCATACAGAGCAACTTTTAGTCTTTTCATCTCCATCTCCTCTGAAGCTCATAGATGGTGTAGAGTTACACTCTCAGAGCACAAGGAAGAGGTGAACAGTAATTAAATGAAGGTTGTTAGCTGATACTTAATTGGATTTTGGTCTAGACTTTGAGTGGGCCACTGAACCAAAACAATACTCATTCTGGGTATGTGTTTAAGGTCAATATCATGCTGAAAGTTGAAGCTCTTCTCAAGCCTTTTCCAGCCTCTAACTCACTTATTACAGGATTGACCTGCATAAAGTTCCATCCATATTCCCACACACTGACTAGATTCTCTGTCCCTTCTGAAGAGAATGATGCCGCCACCACCACTGGGTGTCACTACAACAATGGTTTAATCAAAGTGATGTGCAGTGTTATTACATTTTAGTAACCTGAATATTAACCCGATCAGCGTTGGGTTTGTACTCACTCTCTGATCTTCTTTTCAGAGCCATCGCGGCCTGGGTCGTACACACCCTTCGGGAGGTGCTGGATAAGTCCGATGCGTTGAGCGATGCGGACCTGCTCCTCTTCAGTCAGCTGAGTGGCCAGTCGGGCCTGGCTGGGCGTTGGGTGGTAGACAGGCACGTGGATCTGCTCCTGCAGACAGAGACTCTCATTAAATGATATCCAGCAACTGTCTAACAGTCTTGATAAATGTGGGCAGTGATGGGAAAGACTCGTCGTAAATATTTATGCTACCTGAAGTTTTATTAGTAGGTCAGATCTACTAGGTCAAACATCTGGGGATGTGGGTGTTTTAACACTCACTTCCAGTGAAATGGTTGGAAGTTACCAGCAGACCACGAGACATGATAAACACCCCGGTATTTATGGGTTGTGGTAATGTTTTATTTTAATACAAAATCCTTTAAAGTGAAGCTTTTAATCCAACTTATTTCCCAAAATCCATTCAGGAAACGCAGTCATCGGTTGCTATTGTGATTTCCTGCAGATTTGATAAAAATCTGCACTTCCAGTCTGATTCTCCAGCATAAATATAG